ATAAGGCAGAGAATTTTACTTACATATGACATTTCAGTAATATATCTAATATAATAATCAAGTTATAGGCTTTTGAAAAATTCAAAGTAGAAAAAGTTCCACTTCCGTTTATCAAAAATCGCTCAAAAGTTGATATGGATATCCGATTTTGATATAATATTTATATATGAAATTTCATCAACCTAGCTGCAACGTTACTCAAGTTATCGTGTTTACATACACCCACATACACACAGACATACGGACAAGATTGCAAAACTATGTCTTTCTCGACCCAGGGAGCTGTAAAATTTTTTTTTTGCACGATTAGAAGACTTTCTCTATACTTCGTATATACGAGACAGTACAAAACCATCAATCAATCGATTTAGCATTCGCTTTTTTTTCAGTAAAAGTCTCCTCATAGTAATGCTGTATATTGATTTTTTAAATTACGTATGATAAAAATTTACGAGTTTTTTTTTTAAATTTATATTTTATTGCAATTTATTTTAATGATGAACTTACCTGGAAAGATTGACTTATACTAAAGCTGTCTTAAAATATTTTAGCACAAACTTACGCACAAATCCACACACTACCCCACATTTTCAAAATTTGTGTCCGTTCAAAACACTAGTTTTAATGCCCCAAAATTCCCCGAAATTAAGTGTTTTGAACGGACAAACCTTTTGAAAATTTATAATAAATTATTTAGAAGATATGCACTTAAGATTTTTAGCTGTGTACCCCAAAATATGAAAGAAGATTATGAATTCATTATTTATTGGGCTTAAAATATAATATTTTATGGATGGTGGAAAACCTACGAGGGGGTTAATTTTTCAAGATGGGCGCCGTTGTCATAGTTACCAAGATTTTTCCACGAATTTTTAGTGGAAGTGCATATGCCGATGTATCTTAATAAAGCTGTAAAGAAATAACTGTTTTCTAACGAGTATTAAAATATTTTTTTTACCGGAGCCTTCCCCCTTGACCTAACCCTTAACCCACACATCACACCACACTAATCCTAATCATTGCCCAAACCCTAAAATACGCCTAAAATCTACAACTAAGATCACCAAAAGATTATGGTGATGTTAAATATTAGGATTTTTTTGGGTCAACTTGTAATCGCCAGAAAATATTGTCACAGGTAAATCTGGGGTCGGCCTATGTCCATATTGTGAGGTGAAAAATTACCCATCAAAATGTTTCACTCAGAACAGGCTTGAACAGTCTAAGTAATCATTAAATATTAAAATCTTTTTTTTTAAATATGGCAAGCAATAAAATTATAGTTTTTTTTAATAAGCCGTTTGGGAACCATCGATTGCGCTAATTTTCATATTTTTGTAATGAATATAAGCCACTGAAAAGACGTTTAGAATTATTTTATCAATTCAATATTTTAAAAAACCGCCCTCAACCCCTTTTTACAGTTAAGCGGAATGGTTAGGGGAAGTAAAACTATAAAAATCACAAAACGTTTTCCATGATAAAATACACAACAGCGGTGAATGGGGATACTGTCTTGTAGTTTAACTATTTTAAATAATATAATATCTCCTATCAACACAACACCCTAACTCTACTGATCGAAATAAAAAATAAAAGTTTTAGCTAAATTACTATTATATTACAAGTAATTACTTATTTGAATATATCTAGCCATAGTAAAACCCGAAGTTATTTTGTACTATTTTCAAAAATGTCATGAAATATTCAATTTTGGTTGAAAAATTAGCTTTCTGGCAACAACAATTTGGAAGCATTTGGGACCATCTTTTCAAGTCTATTAATAAAATTTAATGAAAAACAACTAGGATTCCTCTCATTCACAAAATTGAGAATTTAATAACGACAATATGAGTGTGATATTTAAGTAAAGCTGGAGTGATCTCTCCAAAATATTCTCTTATATTCTTATATATCACTAAGGGAGATGACACTTCCAGTGCAATCGGTATATAGAAATATTTAAATTTATTTTTTTTACATTAAAAATTAATACTTAAAAAGAATTGCGCACCAAATTAGACGCGTAAAATATGTGCATAATAGCGCGTAAAATTAGTACTTTATAAGAAAACATTCATTAATTTTTAATAATAAGTTAATTAAAAATGTAATTAAGTCAAATTTTATGAACTCTTCACCTACATGAAAAGTTTAAAACAAAACGGTTCAGGAGAAGTAATATTTTTTGAGAAATCGGAAATACCGTCAAGAGAACTTCTTTTCTCCGAAAATCACTAAATGTGAAAAATTCAAGATGATAAGTTCTTATACCTTTGTAGGCCTACTAAATTTCGTTCACATCAATGTCATCGGTTTTTAAGAAACCGGAAATATAATAAAATACCACATCCGGTCTTCGGAGGTCACTCGAAAAGTAATGCAGTAAAAATGAGAAAATAAATGAGTTTCTTTAAATATATAATACACTACTATTTAAATAAACATAAAGAAAAGTGTGGGTCACTTAATAATCTATTGGATACCTTTACTAGTATTTAGAGAGACCCACTCTTTTCTTTATTTAAATAGTAGTGTTTTATTATATTTTATCATATATTTAAAGAAAATAATTTATTTTCTCCTTTTTACTGCATTATTTGAGTATTGAACCACATGTGGAATTTCAAAGAAATTGGTCGTTTAGAAGTGCTTGAAATTTAGCCCGCCCGTTTTGATCTAGTCAGATAGACTTGATGAGGAAGCTAGTTAACTAAAAGCTTGAAAAATAAAAAAAAGTACGATGTAGCGTAATTTGAAAAACAACGAAAATACTGGCTTTTATTTTTATTCATTATATGTTGTAGGCTCTTGGCCTTCTCGGCATATTCTATTTGACACAAAAACTTTGAATTTGAAATAACGACGGTATAGTTATGGTGGTTATCTTGTCCTGACGTCCTAGATGGACAGAAGAGCAACAAATTTAAAAAAATGTCCTCTGGGGGGGGGGGGGGGACTTGACATTTGATGGGTAATAGTTTAAAAATTTGATATCTAGTGGGTGAAAGTATAAGAATTCGACTTCTGAATGGTGAAAGTTTAAAAACTTGACATCTGAAGGGTGAAAGTTTAAAAACTGACATCTGATGGGTGAAAGTTTAAAAACTTGACATCTGAAGGGTGAAAGTTTAAAAACTGACATCTGATGGGTGAAAGTTTAAAAACTTGACATCTAATGGGTGAGAGTTTTAAAAGTTTAAGGGTTAGTTAGGGTGACGGCTATTATAGATGACTAGACTACCCGTTATCTAGTTAGATAACTGTGGGTTTCGGGGGTCATCCATAAATGACATCACGTCTGTCAGCACTTATCATCCCAAAAGACGTTTTTTATATTTCAAATACTCTACTAAACTCTACTTCACCTGCCCAGTGCCCCGCTAAGTCTCAGACATGTTTGTATTTAAAAAAAAAAAAACGATTCCGGCCGGGCATGGCTCTGACCACACTATCCCACATATGCTGAGAACATAGAAACAGGTGAACTCTTCTTCACCTGCCCTGTACCCCGCGAGGTCCTGATAGTCAACCTTATCATTCACATATAGGCCGTAGGAAAAAAATAATTGAAAACAATGTTGTAAAAAAAAAATCTTTTTACTATTACTAAATTTATTGTTCTAAACTTTTATAATTAATGTGGTTAATCTACAAATGAATATATCAATAAATTAATTAACGACTTTAAATTAGTTTGTAATTAACAGTGTGTTTAAGAAAGAACAATATTTACCACCCAAAATCCTATTTTACAGCTCTACACATAATGCAGATTCTCCCCAATAAAAAAAAAAAAAAAAAAAAAAAATGAGTTATCAAACGTCACTACTCAGTCAAAGTTTAGCCATTGTTCTGAAACTTTAAAATTAATGTGGTTAATCTACCTATGAATAAATCAATAAACTAATTAACATCTTTAAATAAATGTGTGATTAACAGTCTGTCTGCAATCAAACATAATTCTCTACCTACATACTATTTTACAGCCCCCCATATAGAGCAGTTTCCTTGCAGTACGAAATCAGCCAAACAAACAAACAAATAAATATTCAAACATGTAAACAAACTTGAGTTTTAGTAGTATATAGATAGATGAATTGATGGAACATGGAGTAGACATGTTTTAGTCGCAGTGTGTGGTGTTTTTGTGGTTTGGTTGCTGTAATGGTGTGGTTGTGATGTGAGTGTGGTGTGGGATATGGTGTGGTTGTGGTGTGGTGTGATTGTCATGTAGTTGTGGTTGTGGTGTGGTTTTGGTGTGGTTGTAGTGTGGTTGTGGTGTGGGTTGTGGTGTGGTGTGGTGTGGTTGTGGTGTGATGTTGTTGTGTTGGGATTGTGGTGTGGTTGTGGTGTGGTTGTAGTGTGGTTGTGATGTGGGTTGTGGCGTGGTGTGGTTGTGGTATGGTGTGGTTGTGGTGTGATGTAGTTGTGGTGTGTTGTGGTGTGGTTGTGGTATGGTGTGTTTGTGGTGTTGGTTGTGGTGTGATTGTGGTGTGATTGTGGGGTTGTTGTGGTGTGGTTATAGTGTGGTTATAATGTGGTTGTGGTGTGGTTGTTATGTTATTTTGGTGTGTTTGTGGTGAGGGTTTTGGTGTAGTTGTGGTGTGGTTATGGAGTGATTATGGTGTTGTTGTGGTGTGGTTGTGGTGTGGTTGTGGTGTGTGTTGTGATGTGCTGTGGTTTCGTTGTGTTGGAGTAAAATAAAAATTGAGTTTACGTGAGTGGTGCAGCAGCACTAGGAACTCGTGTGGTGTGGTGTGGTGTGGTGTGGTTGTGGTGTGGTTGTGGTGTGGTGTGGGTGTGTTGGAGTAGAGCAGCACTCGTGTGGTGTTTTTGAAGAAATTTGTTCAAGTCTCTAATGAGAGCTCAAGCTGCCCCACATAAACGACACTTTTTGACCTCTGACCTAATCTAAAGCTAACGTTATAATCTATTTCTGTGCCTTTTGTTTATCTAATTAATTCGTGACTTAAAGAAAACTAAATTTTAAAAGTTTTAGTATAAATCTGGGCAACATCGCTATGAATGTTGAACATTGTAGAATCAGCTTACAGTGGTAAGATCTAATTTACTTTTACATAAGTGCATGGCTTCAAAACTTCACATTTACGTCGTCAATAACTTTTCATTTAACAATAACCAATGTAGCCATAGTAGACTTGGTGGGCTTAATGAGGAACTTTAGGAAACACAATCTGACAAATTTAAAAATTGTAAGGATGATTGCATGTCACGTCGTGATGTGGCATCTATACATGACATCTCGATAGTGTTCATCAAAATTTTCACTTTGACACGGAGCAGCTTAAAACTGCAACCAGCCGTCGGATATTTTGTAGCTCACACTTAACTTTCGCAATAAAAAATGTGTTCTATAAACATATCAAAATTATAATGTGCGCTTACACCATTTACCTGATGGTGTAACTATATGACCATATTCACCCGCGTGTATCCAACTATGTTTATTACTGTTTTCTCATTGAACTTGTTGTTTGACTTTAATTTTATCTATTTTCTCATTGAACTTGTTTTGTGACTTTAATGTTATCTGTTGTTTCATTGAACTTGTTGTGTGACTTTAATGTTATCTATTGGTTCATTTAACTGCCCATAGCGGTCACAATGTTTGTCCCCGCCCTCCTGACCTTGCTCCTTGTGGGCGCCATCACTGGCATGCCCGTCCAAGAGGACATTTCTGGTACCATCACCATCACCATCCGATCTGAGGAGGCCCAGATTCCGGTAAGGAAAAGTTTGAATGTTCTACTGGCAGACTAGGCAAAGATAAGCGTTCGTGATCCACTGACAGATTATGTAAAGACTTTAGAGATAAGTGTTCATGATCTACTGATAGATTATGTAAAGACGGTAGAGATAAGTGACATACAGTACAGATAAATGTAAAAAATTTACAGAAAGACTATGCAAAGATAAATTTTCATAATTTATTGACATACTATGTAATGACTTAAAGATAAGTGTGCAGAAATAATAACGTACATTTCGCTACAATTGTTGTAGGGGCATGTCTATGTCGAAGGGGTTTGTATTAATATAATGGTAATAGCTAGATAAGACACACACACAGAAACAACCAAAGACACACACCCAAACAAATACCGCTAAATAATTGAGATAAAAATATCTTCCCCACCACAGGAGGACATCTCTGGGACCATCTCAATCAACTTCAGGGCTGATGAAGTGCAGGTAAATACAAACTGAACAACACTACAATGGAAATTCATTTAGTTTGTAACAAACAGAAGTCTCCAAAGTAAAAATTTATTTACCAAGTGTACTAATACAGTAAATGGCAATAATTAATGTATTTCTAAACTTTTTAATTCCCACCCCCCCCCCCCACCTCCACCAAAACATGTACACCATGGCTGTAGAAAAGGGAGGAGGATATCTCTGGTACCATCACCATCACCATCAAGGCTCTGGAAGGATGGAGCACAACCTCAATCCTTCCCGCAATCTTCTCTGTAAGATAACGTCTCAGAAGATATTTGATGTTTTAAATGTATTATATATATATATATATATATATATATATATATATATATATATATATATATATATATATATATATATATATATATATGTATATATATATATATATATATATATATATATATATATATATATATATATATATATATATATATATATATATATATATGCACTGTTGTATATTATAGATACGATATTGCTTTAAACATTTATTTCGACGTAAAATATCAGCACACGTATCTAAATACATTTAATCCGCCCACAGAAGAGAGATGGACAGGACATTAGTGGTACCATCACCATCAACATCAAATCTCAAGAAGAACAGGTAAAAACACATATTATACTGATAACATCTAAAACCTTGTTAAGAAATCTAGGATCAGCCTTTCTTGTTACTGTTGAACGAAAAAAATGTTGGAAATATTTAAATCAGGAAACGAATCACATTCTAATAAAAACCTAATCGATGGAAAAATGATAAATTTTCATAAAAAAGAAACAATGTTTTGATTTATGCTTGCATTTTAAATCTTCAGCTAGAAAAACTGTAAAATTTTACACATGAATAATAAAATATTTTAACTTGGTTATTTATACACAAATGATGTTGAGATATTTCCCTACTTGAAAGATTTTGTAAGCTTGTTAATATATGAGCGAACTAAAAATCTACTTAACCTACTTTATACGTACTTTCAATAAAAAATTTATGAAATATTTTTTAACAGAAAAGAGATAACATGGAAGATATCTCTGGTACAATCACCATCACCATCAAGTCAGAAGAAGCATGGACCGACTACATTGGACCAGCCCTCCAAATCGCTCAGGTTGTTGCACCTTTTATTGGCAAGAGAGAGAACGCCCAAGAAGCGTGGACAGACTTTATTGGTCCAGCCATTCAAATCGCAACCACTGTTGCACCTCTTTTCCTTGGCAAGAAAGAACTGACCCAAGAATCATGGACTGATATCCTTGGAACGGTACTTAATGTTGCAACGACTGTTGCTCCCCTTCTCCTTGGCAAGAAAGAACTGAACGAAGAATCATGGACTGATATCCTTGGAACGGTACTTAATGTTGCTACCACTGTCGCACCACTTCTCCTTGGCAAGAAAGAACTAACTCAAGAATCATGGACTGATATCCTTGGAACGGTACTTAATGTTGCTACCACTGTCGCACCACTTTTCATTGGCAAGAAAGAACTGACCCAAGAATCATGGACTGATATCCTTGGAACGGTACTGAATGTTGCAACTACTGTCGCACCACTTCTCCTTGGCAAGAAAGAACTAACAGAAGAATCATGGACTGATATCCTAGGAACGGTACTTAATGTTGCTACCACTGTTGCACCACTTCTCCTTGGCAAGAAAGAACTGACCCAAGAATCATGGACTGATATCCTAGGAACGGTCCTCAATGTTGCAACCACTGTTGCACCACTTCTCCTTGGCAAGAAAGAACTAACTCAAGAATCATGGACTGATATCCTTGGAACGGTCCTTCAAGTTGCAGGTACTGTTGCGCCACTTCTCATTGGCAAGAAAGAGCTGACTCAGGAATCCTGGACTGATATCCTTGGTACTGTCCTTAATGTTGCAACCACTGTTGCACCGCTTCTCCTTGGCAAGAAAGAACTAACTCAAGAATCATGGACTGATATCCTTGGAACGGTCCTTCAAGTTGCAGGTACTGTTGCACCACTTCTCATTGGCAAGAAAGAGCTGACTCAGGAATCCTGGACTGATATCCTTGGTACTGTCCTTAATGTTGCAACCACTGTTGCACCACTTCTCCTGGGCAAGAAAGAACTAACTCAAGAATCATGGACTGATATCCTTGGAACAGTCATCCAAGTTGCAGGCACTGTTGCACCACTTTTCCTTGGCAAAAAAGAACTAAACCAAGAATCATGGACTGATATCCTTGGAACGGTCCTCAATGTTGCAACCACAGTTGCTCCACTTCTCCTTGGCAAGAAAGAACTAACTCAAGAATCATGGACTGATATCCTTGGAACAGTACTTAATGTTGCTACCACTGTTGCACCACTTCTCCTTGGCAAGAAAGAACTAACTCAAGAATCATGGACTGATATCCTAGGAACGGTCCTCAATGTTGCAACCACTGTTGCACCACTTCTTATTGGCAAGAAAGAACTGACCCAAGAATCATGGACTGATATCCTTGGAACTGTCCTCCAAGTTGCAGGTACCGTTGCACCACTTCTTATTGGCAAGAAAGAACTAACCCAAGAATCATGGACTGATATCCTTGGAACGGTCCTCAATGTTGCAACCACCGTTGCACCACTTCTTATTGGCAAGAAAGAACTAACCCAAGAATCATGGACTGATATCCTAGGAACAGTCCTCCAAGTTGCAGGCACCGTAGCACCACTTCTTATTGGCAAGAAAGAACTTACCCAAGAATCATGGACTGATATCCTTGGAACGGTCCTCAATGTTGCAACCACCGTTGCACCACTTCTTATTGGCAAGAAAGAACTAACTCAAGAATCATGGACCGATATCCTTGGAACGGTACTTAATGTTGCTACCACTGTTGCACCACTTCTCCTTGGCAAGAAAGAATTGACCCAAGAATCATGGACTGATATCCTTGGAACAGTCCTCAATGTTGCAACAACTGTTGCTCCACTTCTCCTTGGCAAGAAAGAACTAACTCAAGAATCATGGACTGATATCCTTGGAACGGTCCTCAATGTAGCAACCACTGTTGCACCACTTCTCCTTGGCAAGAAAGAACTGACCCAAGAATCATGGACTGATATCCTTGGAACGGTCCTCCAAGTTGCAGGCACTGTTGCACCTCTTCTTATTGGCAAAAAAGAACTAACCGAAGAATCATGGACTGATATCCTTGGAACAGTCCTCAATGTTGCAACCACCGTAGCACCACTTCTCCTGGGCAAGAAAGGATTGACCGAGGAAGCATGGACTGATATCCTTGGAACTGTTCTTCAAGTTGCAGGCACTGTCGCACCACTTCTCATTGGCAAGAAAGAGCTAATCCAAGAATCATGGACTGATATCCTTGGAACGGTCCTCCAAGTTGCAGGTACTGTTGCACCACTTCTTATTGGCAAGAAAGAACTAACCCAAGAATCATGGACTGATATCCTAGGAACGGTCCTCAATGTTGCAACCACTGTTGCACCACTTCTCCTTGGCAAGAAAGAACTAACTCAAGAATCATGGACTGATATTCTTGGAACTGTCCTCAATGTTGCAACCACTGTTGCACCACTTCTTCTTGGCAAGAAAGAACTGAACCAAGAATCATGGACTGATATCCTTGGAACAGTCCTCCAAGTTGCAGGCACCGTTGCACCACTTCTTATTGGCAAGAAAGAACTAACCCAAGAATCATGGACTGATATCCTTGGAACGGTCCTCAATGTTGCAACCACCGTTGCACCACTTCTTATTGGCAAGAAAGAACTAACCCAAGAATCATGGACTGATATCCTTGGAACAGTCCTCCAAGTTGCAGGCACCGTTGCACCACTTCTTATTGGCAAGAAAGAACTAACCCAAGAATCATGGACTGATATCCTTGGAACGGTCCTCAATGTTGCAACCACCGTTGCACCACTTCTTATTGGCAAGAAAGAACTAACTCAAGAATCATGGACCGATATCCTAGGAACGGTACTTAATGTTGCTACCACTGTTGCACCACTTCTCCTTGGCAAGAAAGAACTGACCCAAGAATCATGGACTGATATCCTTGGAACAGTCCTCAATGTTGCAACAACTGTTGCTCCACTTCTCCTTGGCAAGAAAGAACTAACTCAAGAATCATGGACTGATATCCTTGGAACAGTCCTCAATGTAGCAACCACTGTTGCACCACTTCTCCTTGGCAAGAAAGAACTGACCCAAGAATCATGGACTGATATCCTTGGAACGGTCCTCCAAGTTGCAGGCACTGTTGCACCTCTTCTTATTGGCAAGAAAGAACTAACCGAAGAATCATGGACTGATATCCTTGGAACAGTCCTCAATGTTGCAACCACCGTAGCACCACTTCTCCTTGGCAAGAAAGGATTGACCGAGGAAGCATGGACTGATATCCTTGGAACTGTTCTTCAAGTTGCAGGCACTGTCGCACCACTTCTCATAGGCAAGAAAGAGCTTATCCAAGAATCATGGACTGATATCCTTGGAACGGTCCTCCAAGTTGCAGGTACTGTTGCACCACTTCTTATTGGCAAGAAAGAACTGCCCCAAGAATCATGGACTGATATCCTTGGAACGGTCCTCAATGTTGCAACCACTGTTGCACCACTTCTCCTTGGCAAGAAAGAACTAACTCAAGAATCATGGACTGATATTCTTGGAACTGTCCTCAATGTTGCAACCACTGTTGCACCACTTCTCCTTGGCAAGAAAGAACTGACCCAAGAATCATGGACTGATATCCTTGGAACGGTCCTCAATGTTGCAACTACTGTTGCTCCACTTTTTCTTGGCAAGAAAGAACTAACTCAAGAATCATGGACTGATATTCTTGGAACTGTCCTAAATGTTGCAACTACTGTTGCTCCACTTCTTCTTGGCAAGAAAGAACTGACCCAAGAATCATGGACTGATATCCTTGGAACGGTCCTCCAAGTTGCAGGCACTGTTGCACCTCTTCTCATTGGCAAGAAAGAGCTAACACAAGAGTCATGGACTGACTACATTGCCCCAGCTCTACAGATCGCTCAAATTGTTACTCCACTTATTGGCAAAAGAGATGTCACTCAAGAAGCATGGACTGATATACTTGCATCATTACCTCAAATTCAAATGACTGTCTCGTAAATGTAATTAAATTTTAAAGTTTTATTTTTTGTTTCTTACTTTGATTCAAAACATTTCAAAATGAAAACATTAGATAATACTGTATAGAAATTCTGCCAAAACTGTATGTAAAAGCGGAGAAATTTTAATTTTTAAAAATAAGTTTGAACCATGTTAAAAATGTGCATGTGGATAACGAATAGTTTCTTTGAAAATTATTAAACGTGACACAAGACCAAAATATACTTTGACCTTTTCACTTTCTCGTATAACAATTAAAGAGGAAGTATTGTAGTCTTGCAAAACATTGAAAACGCCGATTTTAAAAGTCTCGACGTTTTACGCCTCCCCGAAGGATGTGTCTGTCTGTATGTGAACACAAAAACTTTAATACCGTTTCAGTAATGTTGAAGAAATTTTCAAATGTAAGTATTGTTTCAAATTTATTGTTCTTTGCCAAGCGATTTCTGATAGCCGGAAGTGATACCCCACTATACTTTTGGTTTCTCAAAAGCCAATAACTTCAATACGTTTTAAGTTAAATAAACGAAATTTCACATATAAGAGTTGCATTGTACGCGCATGTTTCCGTCATATGTTTTACTATTTTCGATAAACGGAAGTGGCAATTTATTCTTTCCGGCTGAACACAATTTGAGTAATGACTCACCTTTGGTTTGGTTTAGAAAAAAAAGAAAAAAAAACACTACCAGCCTAGCGCCCATTGTATTTCCCTCTCAACGGGCTGTATGTCTAGTAATAGTTTCACTCTCTTGTCACATTGAAACACATAGTAAAATATAAAAACAAAACAAATTATTTAAGTTTATACTTCGGCACAGTAGGTCTACTCAGATAGAATGTTGTTGTCGATAGTAGAATAAATAATTCTAATATATAAAAGACCATGTGCGCACTTCTCTCTTTCTCTCTGTCTCTCTCTCTCTCTCTCTCTCTCTCTCTCCTCTCTCTCTCTCTGTCCTCAAAATGTTTTCGCCGGATATCACATCAGAAACTGCAGCTATATATGAAGAACTTGATACGGACTTTGGTTGAAAATAATATAGTAGATGTTTTAAATGTATACCCAACATTTTATTTAAAAAATAAAAATAAAAAAAAATGCATATTCGAATTTAGGAAAAGGGTTTTAATTATGCAACAGGAAAAGCGTTTATAGTTGTGAAAAAGAACCCATGAAACAATGACGTCGCTAATGTTTATACATTAACTAATGACGTCATCTGTTGAGTTTAGAATAAAAAGAAATAAACTATTTCATTCAAATTTGATTTAGATCTAGACCTACGTAAGCTATGAAATGTATACAATACAACTTCTCCGGCCTAAACCTATAACATTTTTTTTATCTATTTGGATTCTAGATCTAGAGATTCTAGATCTAGACTAGATCTAAATCTACGCAAAAACTAGACGGAGACGCTAAGTCGCTAAGATCTAGATTTAGACTCGGATGATTATAGATACTGGTGTCCGATAATGGAATTTTCTTTAAAAAAGGGGTGTTGGGTTGCTATTAGTATTGTAATATCGACTAATTTTATGCTTAGAATTTAGGGTTAGGCGTAAAGTAGGATCAGGGTTGGGGTTAGGAACAGCGTTACCATTGACATTAGCCAGCCAAGTGTGTATTTAGCTAACTACCAGTAACCTAACACCCCTTTTTTAAAGAATATTCCGTTATCGGACACCGATGTGAACATATTTTATAGAAATCTTTGTTTAACTATGGAACTTGCTAATTTGGGATAAAAAAAATTAATTTGAAAGAATAGGCATATTCGCGTAAGTTTAACTTTTTACTTTCTCGTATATACGAAGTATAGAGAAAGTATTGTAAGCGTGCACAAAAATAACATGAAATTTTGACAGTTTTCACCGTTTTACTCCTCAGTCCTTCATTACATCCGGAGTATAGAAGACTTAATTTAATCAGGCAAAAATTATAAATACAAATATATAAACATTTTGGTGTTTTATGCGTTATCGAGTCGTAAAAACTGGACTTTGCAATTCTGTCCGTTGTCTGTGTGTGTGTCTGTCAGTGTGTAAAACACGATAACTTGAGTATCGTTACAGCTAGGTTAATGAAATTTCACAGATAAGTATGTTATCAAAATCGTAGAACCGTATCAACTTTTGAGCGATTTCCGATAACCGGAAGTGGTATTTTTTCTACTTTGAATTTTTCAAAAGTCTATAACTTGAGTACTATTTCAGATAGATAAATGAAATCTCACACGTAAGTAACAGATCTTATTCTCTAACTTCTGTCAAATTTTGAGTAATTTCCGTTGATTGGAAGTACTAATTTACGCTATTTCCGATTTCTCAAAAAACTAATGTAAATAAACTAATAATATTCCGCATTATTATGCACGTTTTATTTGGCGTTCACAGGTGTGCAATTCTTTTTTCTACGAGATTTTATTCTATTTTAAAAAGTTTAAGTATTTAAAATGGATTAAAATTCATGTCTATATCCCGAGTTCCCATCCCCTGTTTTTTTATAAAAGAATATTCGAGAAAGTTTAGGGGAGATCGCTCCCGATTTATTTAATATGTCTTTCATTCTCCATAAATAGCTGAGATGATAGTGTACTTAATACCACGCAGGTGGTGCGGGATCGAGACACACCAAGTCACACTTATCTTTTAAAAAAAAATTTGTATGTGAATCTTCCGATTTTAGACTATAAAGAAAGGAACTACTTCATTCAAATTTGATTTAGATCTAGATCTATAGATCTACTCATCAAGACGTACGCTATGAAATATATACAATTTTATCGGTCAAACTAATACAAATTACTTAAAACAACATAATGACCATTGAAAAGCCAGATTTTTAACGGAATCATTTAAGTCACTTAATCAGTGTGTGCCTGTATTATGTTAAATGTGTTGAATTTTTAGCTAATTAGTTATTTCTTTGCTTTGTCACTAATATGGTTCAGCGTGTAGTAAAGCACACTGCGTTTCGACCAATAACTATTTCATAAATTATTTTCTCAAACAAGTACAACATTTTGAAATTAAAATATATAGATCTAGGCCTATATAATTCACGTGAAACGGGTACCGATGACTAGTATAATTAATATACCGGGAGTGATCTCCACTAAACTTTCTCGAATATTCTTATATCAATGTTGGATGGCAACTCAGGATATAGACATTATTCTTAATCCATTTTAATTACTTAAACTTTTTAAAATAGAATAGAATCGCGTAAAAAAAAGAATTGCGCACCAAGTGAACACCAGACAAAATGTGTATTATAGTACTTCTTAAATTCACATGTGCTTTTTAAGAAATCAGAAATAGCGTAAATTAATAATTCCAGTCAACGAAAATTACTCAAAATTTAAAGAAGGCAGCGAATTTTATTTTTTACTTACATGTGAAATTTCATTTATCTATCTGAAACAGTACTCAAGTTATAGACTTTTGAATACTTGAAAGCAGAATAAGTTCCACTTCCAGTAATCGGAAATCGCTGTGAAGTTGATACTGAACTACAAATTTTCTATAATACTTAAATGTGAAATTTTATCAACCTTGCTGTAACGGTACTCGATTTACTGTGTTCACACACACATACACACACACACAGACATACGGACAGAATGGCAAAGTCCAGTTTTTCCGACTGGATTACGCATAAAACGCCAAAAAAATTATATTTCTGGATTTATAATTTTTGTCTGATTAAAATATGTCCTCTATACTCCGGATATGATGAAGGACTGAGGTGTAAAGCGGTGAAAACTGTCAAAATTTCATGTGATTTTTGTGCATGATTACAATACTTTCTCTATACTCTGTATGCGAGAAAATAAAAAATTAAATTCCAAAAACGATACACAATAATAATGACGTCATTGATAATTGATGGTAAAGACACTAACATTACCGCTTGTTAAATTATTCTAACATTATATTTGTATTTATAGTATTAAAAAAGCAAATTCGAATATCTTAAAAATCCAAATGCAAAAGTAATAAGTAATAACATTGTAAACATTTAAAAAATTTGAAAAAAAAAGTATTTATAATCAATTCAAACGTCATTAAATCGATTAAAAAATATAAAGCGGGAGTGATCTCCCCTAAAATTTGTCGAATATTTCTAGATAACACTTGTTAAATTATTCTAACATTATATTTGTATTTATAGTATTAAAAAAGTAAATTCGAATTTCTTAAAAATTTAAATGCAAAAGTAATAAGTAATGACATTGTAAACATTTAAAAATTTGAAAAAAAAAGTATTTATAATCAATTCAAACGTCATTAAATCGATTTTAAAAATATAAAGCGTGAGTTATCTCCCCTAAAATTTGTCAATTATTTCTAGATAACACTAATGAGGATGGCAACTCCAGTGCAGTTGGGATATAGACATTTTTGAAAAATCTTTTTTCAAATAATCATTTTTTTTAAAAAATAGAATATAATCTCGTAAAAAAAATGATAAACAGGTAACAATGTGTATAATAGTGCGGAACATTAGTACTCTTTGAACAAAGTCTTGATTAATTTTTAAAGAGTTAATTTATCATCTAATTCAGTTAATTTTTTTTTCATAATACATTGTCTTCGAGACCTGATCTACATGGAAAATTTACAATAATTCGGTTAAGTAGATGTGTTCGCAATTTTGTTCGCAGTTATCCGACTGTCGGACGAAAGACAGAGGAATCAAGTTAAAAAAAAATTCGTTTTTTAAGAAATCGGAAATAACGTAAAGTATTATTTCAGGTCACCTAAAATAACTTAAAATTTGTCAAAAACAGAGAACAAAATATTTTACATATGTGTGAAATTTTGTCTACCTAGCTGAAACAGAACTCACGTTATATGCTTATAAAAACCCAAAGTAGAATAAGTTGATACTGAACTACAAATTTGATGTAATTCTTATGTGTGAAATTTCATCAACCTAGCTGTAACGGTACTCAAGTTATCGTGTTTACACACACACAGAGACACACACACACATACACACACACAGACATACGAACAAGATTGCAAAATTAAGTTTTTTTTGCACGATTACAATACTTTCTCTATACTTTGTATATACGAGCAAGTAAAAAGACAGTTGAAAATTGATATAAGTGTTGGTACGTAATAAAAACAGCAAACGGACGTATTGTTAAAGTTATAGCCGACAGAAAATTAGCTTTACAACGCGTTAAACATCTGAATAAGATACGAAATGTTGTATTGGAGCAGCCACATATTGTTGTAAAAAGTAAACAAATCATGTGACGTCACTATTCACTCAAAGTATAGACGTTTTTCTAAACTTTTAAAATTAATGTGGTTAATCTACCAATGAATAAATCAATAAATTAATTAACGTCTTTAAATAAATTTGTGATTAACAGTCTGTCTGAAAACAAAAATTGTTCTCTACCTACATACTATTTTACAGCTCTCCACATAGCGCAAATTCTCTCCAGTAGTCAACCAGACAAACAAACAAAATAAATAAATACTCAAACATGTAAACAAACTTGAGTTTTAGTAGTATACTAGACTTATCCGTCATCCATTGGATAACTATGGGTTTCGGGGGTTATCCATAAAAAAAACATCACGTCTGTCACTTATCGTCAAAAAAGAACCAGACACCACATTCAAAAAGACGTTTTTTTTATCTTTTAAAAACATCGATTTCGGCCGAGCATGGGTCTGACCACACTATCCCTTCATATACTGACGTCACAGGTGACCTACTCAATTCTACTTCACCTGCCCAGTGTCCCGCCAAGTCTCAGACAACATGTTTTTATCGTTTAAAAAACGATTCCGTCCGAGCATGTCTCTTACCACACTATCCCTTCATATGCTGAGGAAAAAGAAGCAGGTGAACTCTACTTGACCTGCCCTGTGTCCCGCGAGGTCCTGATAGTCAACTGCATCATTCACGTTTAAAAAAAAACAAAAATTGAAAAAAAAAAACTTTGTCGTGATGTGTCTTGAACCCGTACCACCCGCACAATAGCCATTCCACTATTATCTTAGCTATAGCGGGACTGGCTAACCATTGTAAAATTAGTCCTATAGTGTATTGCAAAGTAAGAAACCAATTACGCGAAAATGTCCTAATATTTTAAATTTAATTAGGGACCTAGATCTATATCCCAAATTAGCCAGTGCCATAGCTAAACAACAAAGATTTATATAAAATAATTAAGGCATAAAATATATTATAGTTTCTAGATGTAGAATTTACATTAAGGCTAGATCTAGAATTTACATTAAGTCTAGTGACCTAGATCTAGATTCATAACTTTTTTTTCCGTTTGACAACTGATCTGTAGATCTAGAGAAATGTATTGTATAATAAAATAAAAAGAACGGATAAAACATTGATAATAGTGCTCAACGTAATAAAAATAGCAAACGGACGTATCATTAAAGCTATAACCGACAGAAAATTAACTTTAGAACGCGTTAAACATTGGAATGAGAACACAATCTTCCATGCAGGCCGCCATTGTTGATGTAAAAAGTAAACAAATCATGTGACTTCACTATTCACTCAAAGTATAGTCATTTTTCTAAACTTTTAAAATTAATGTGGTTAATCTACCGATGAAAAAATCAATAAATTAATTAACTTCTTTAAATAAATTTGTGATTAACAGTGTGTCTGAAAACAAAAATTGTTCTCTACCTACATACTATTTTACAGCTCTACACATAGAGTAGATTCTCTCCAGTAGCCAATCAGACAAACAAAAAACAAACAAAAAAAAAACAACAAAAAATTAAATATTCAAACATGTAAACAAACTTGAGTTTTAGTAGTATAGAGATAGATAGATTACATCGGAGGAAAAAATTATTTGTTCTAATTTGTTTTGGTGTTGGGGAAAAAATAATTACATAATTAGCTGGGATTGATCAAGTGAAATGTGGTAAATAAAACACATATATTTTAAATACTGCCTTTTATTTATTTTATACACTAAAGGTACTGTTTACTAATTATTTTTAAAAATCAATGACACTAAAGAAGACCGCTCCTAAATGTCCTCTATGTTTACTTCTATCTTTCCGTTTGCGTATAAGCGTGGGTTATTATAATCGTTCACTAAATTGATTCAGGCGCGTCCCGAAAATTATATTTAAAATTAAAAAAAAAGCATTAAAACGTGTGGGTGTAGTGTGTTTGTAGTGTGAAATTGGTGTGTGAAGTGTGGGTGAAATGTGAGCGTTGTGTGGGTGATGTGTGGGAGTGGTGTGGGTGAGGTATTGGAGTGTTGTCTATGAAGTGTGGGAGTAGATGAGAGTGGTGTCCTTATTATATTGGTGTAGGTGTACTGAGGATGTTTATGTTGTTTATAAAGAAAATTAAAACTGTTAAGTCTCTAATGAGAGAACTGACCGCCCCACATAGACGACACTTTTTGACCTATATTGACCCAGCTCGGCAGCTAACGTTATATTTTCTGTTGTGCTTTTTGTCTTATCTAATTGATTCGTGACTTTAAAACAACTACCTTTTAAAAAATTTAGTATAAATCTAGGCTTCATCGCGATGAGATCTGAACATTGTAGAATCAGCTTTCATTGGTAAGAATTTTCTATTATTACATACTTGTTGGCTTATAATTAATCAATGCAATTTTTTGTAGCCGGTAATTATGATATAAATTAACTGACAGTTAATGCATTGCTTTAGCAGACCATAAAAGTTTGTTACGATTTGACGGAATTAGGATTGTGGAATGTAATTAAAAAACTTTACAGGACAAAATAAAATAGACATTAAAGATTACGCTTTAACAGACGTAAGAGGACAAAATTTATCATTTTCAAAGCAGTAAGTACGAATGGATGAGAAATCGTCATGTCATCCCGATATGACATCCTGGTCATGGCATTTATTTAAAATGTCTCAAACTCATCTGGCAGTAACACGGAATGGCCACGAATAAACTAGAATCAAGTGGGGAAGGGTGGGGTTTAAAATGCATTATTTTTAATAATTTATTTTTATTTCGAGCTTTGGTTTTTTCTGCTGTTTCTTTAAAAGTGTTGCAGAGAAAATTTAAACTGTAACAGTGACGTTTGCAGATGTCAAATTAATGTGTGACTTTAATGTTATCTATTGTCTCATTGAACTTGTTGTGTGAATTTAATGTTATCTATTTTCTCATTGAACTGCCCACAGTGGTCACAATGTTTGTTCCCGCTCTCTTGACGTTGCTCCTTGTGGGCGCCATCACTGGCATGCCTGTCCAAGAGGACATTTCTGGTACCATCACCATCACCATCCGATCTGAGGAGGCCCAAATTCCGGTAATAATTTAATGACAGACTTTGTTTTAAATCTTGCTGACATGTTACATTAGGATAATGTAGGTTAATATCTTTTTAAAGATTGTGTAAAATAAGTATATGTAGGCCTATATGTTTTAAGTTTACATATAGTTTGTTATAGTTATTTTGAATTATAAATAATTTATCCTTGTACTTTTAACTGTATGTAGCGATTGTAACTGTTTAAAAAAAACATTTTAATACAAGCAATGTTCCTATGTATATCATACAACATTTGTGGTATGTGTCTGTAGTAGGGGCCTGTCTATCAAGTAGTGGCCCGTCAATGTTGTGGGGTCTTTCTATGTAGTACAGGTCTGTCTATGAAGTAGGGGCTTATATATGTAGTTGTGGCCTGTCTATGTAGCAGTGTTATGTCTATGAAGTAGAGGCCTGTCTATGTAAAAACACAAACACACCCAAACAAATACCGCTAAATAATTGAGATAAAAATATCTTCCCCCACCACAGGAGGACATCTCTGGGACCATCTCAATCAACTTCAGGGCTGATGAAGTGCAGGTAAATACAAACTGACCAACACTACAATGGAAATTCATTTAGTTTGTAACAAACAGAAGTCTCCAAAGTAAAAATTTATTTACCAAGTGTACTAATACAGTAAATGGCAATAATTAATGTATTTCTAAACTTTTCTATCCCCCCCCCCCACCTCCACCAAAACATGTACACCATGGCTGTAGAAAAGGGAGGAGGATATCTCTGGTACCATCACCATCACCATCAAGGCTCTGGAAGGATGGAGCACAACCTCAATCCTTCCCGCAATCTTCTCTGTAAGATAACGTCTCAGAAGATATTTGATGTTTTAAATGTATTATATAATTATATATAATTATATATATATATATATATATATATATATATATATATATATATATATATATATATATATATATATATATATATATATATATATATATATATATATAATTATATATATATGTTGTATATTATAAATACGATATAGCTTTACACATTTATTTCGACGTAAAATGTCACTACATGTACCTAAATACAATTATTCCGCCCCCAGAAGAGAGATGGACAGGACATTAGTGGTACCATAACCATCAACATCAAATCTCAAGAAGAACAGGTAAGAACTTATTTTATCCACAGGTATCAGTGGGAAGTTAAACTTTGTAAAATAAACCTTTCTTGTTACTGACATAACAGGATGGAAGAAAATGTTAAAAACAGGCGGAGAGTTAACCTGAGTAAACAATTTATCAAGCGCTGCTAAAACTAACGTTTAATGCTATTGAGATTTTATCATACTTTAGTGACTTTTCAGCTCAATTAAGAAATTGTGTATAGTCCTGCTATTAATCACTTTCAATATTATTTTTAAATTGCTTATCAGAAAAGAGATAACATGGAAGATATCTCTGGTACAATCACCATCACCATCAAGTCAGAAGAAGCATGGACCGACTACATTGGACCAGCCCTCCAAATCGCTCAGGTTGTTGCACCTTTTATTGGCAAGAGAGAGAACGCCCAAGAAGCGTGGACAGACTTTATTGGTCCAGCCATTCAAATCGCAACCACTGTTGCACCTCTTTTCCTTGGCAAGAAAGAACTGACCCAAGAATCATGGACTGATATCCTTGGAACGGTACTTAATGTTGCTACCACTGTTGCGCCACTTCTCCTTGGCAAGAAAGAACTGACCCAAGAATCATGGACTGATATTCTAGGAACGGTACTTAATGTTGCTACCACTGTTGCACCACTTCTCCTTGGCAAGAAAGAACTGACCCAAGAATCATGGACTGATATCCTTGGAACGGTAATTAATGTTGCTACCACTGTTGCACCACTTTTCATTGGCAAGAAAGAACTGACCCAAGAATCATGGACTGATATTCTAGGAACGGTTCTCAATGTTGCTACCACTGTTGCACCACTTTTCCTTGGCAAAAAAGATCTTACTGAAGACGTATGGACTGACTACATTGCACCAGCCCTCCAAATTGCTCAAATTGTTACCCCACTTATCACTAATGGAAAGAGGGAACTTACCGAGGATGTATGGACTGACTACATTGCACCAGCCCTCCAAATTGCTCAAATTGTTACCCCACTTATCACTAATGGAAAGAGGGAACTTACCGAGGATGTATGGACTGACTACATTGCACCAGCCCTCCAAATTGCTCAAATTGTTACCCCACTTATCACTAATGGAAAGAGGGAACTTACCGAGGATGTATGGACTGACTACATTGCACCAGCCCTCCAAATTGCTCAAATTGTTACCCCACTAATCACTAATGGAAAGAGGGAACTGACCGAGGATGTATGGACTGACTACATTGCACCAGCCCTCCAAATTGCTCAAATTGTTACCCCACTTATCACTAATGGAAAGAGGGAACTGACCGAGGATGTATGGACTGACTACATTGCACCAGCCCTCCAAATTGCTCAAATTGTTACCCCACTTATCACTAATGGAAAGAGGGAACTTACCGAGGATGTATGGACTGACTACATTGCACCAGCCCTCCAAATTGCTCAAATTGTTACCCCACTTATCACTAATGGAAAGAAGGAACTTAACGAGGATGTATGGACTGACTACATTGCACCAGCCCTCCAAATTGCTCAAATTGTTACCCCACTTATCACTAATGGAAAGAGGGAACTTACCGAGGATGTATGGACTGACTACATTGCACCAGCCCTCCAAATTGCTCAAATTGTTACCCCACTTATCACTAATGGAAAGAAGGAACTTACCGAGGATGTATGGACTGACTACATTGCACCAGCCCTCCAAATTGCTCAAATTGTTACCCCACTTATCACTAATGGAAAGAAGGAACTTAACGAGGATGTATGGACTGACTACATTGCACCAGCCCTCCAAATTGCTCAAATTGTTACCCCACTTATCACTAATGGAAAGAGGGAACTTACCGAGGATGTATGGACTGACTACATTGCACCAGCCCTCCAAATTGCTCAAATTGTTACCCCACTTATCACTAATGGAAAGAGGGAACTTACCGAGGATGTATGGACTGACTACATTGCACCAGCCCTCCAAATTGCTCAAATTGTTACCCCACTTATCACTAATGGAAAGAGGGAACTTACCGAGGATGTATGGACTGACTACATTGCACCAGCCCTCCAAATTGCTCAAATTGTTACCCCACTTATCACTAATGGAAAGAGGGAACTTACCGAGGATGTATGGACTGACTACATTGCACCAGCCCTCCAAATTGCTCAAATTGTTACCCCACTTATCACTGGCAAGAAAGCCATTACTGACTTTATTAATCCACTAATTATGAGTTAAGTTGTTTTGTAATTGTAAATATAAAATTAACTCATCTACTTTTCCTAACATCATTTAAAAAAAGATGCTAATATATTCTAATTTTACTACTATATACATCTGTTTATTAAAAAATACCTTTTCAAACCTTGAATAATGATGTATAATTTTCAACCATGTGAAAAGTTAATAGTGGTCAGTATGAAGAATTATTGCCATAAAAATATTTAATAAAAGCGATTACGTATATTTTGTATTCTTATTTTTTTATTAAGTATTGTTTACTTGTTATAAGTACTTATTGTGGACTTTACAGAAATGTAAAAGTAAAGTACCCTTTTTAAACCTATCGGTTTATGGAGCAAGTGAAGCAGAGCTCAACTGTTTCTGTGACCTCGGAATATAAAGAGATAGTGTGGTCAGCAATATGCCCAACCGCCTTTACTTTCCCTAACATGAGTACCTTGACTTCTACAGAAGAAGACACTATTTTGGCAGGTGAATCGGTAGGAAAATATTTGTATCCTATCTATAACAAAGAGGTCGGATGGCGATTTCGTTAAAACGAAATCAGAATCAGAATCTAGAATCTCAGCCGATCAAACACTATTTTCTATGTAAGACTCAATGAAATTATCAATGACAGAGTCAATGATAACTACCGCTCTCTTGGATATTTCTCTCGAGAAAATCAATGATAAAGCGTTAATAGCTATAAAGAGAGAGAGTTTATCAAAACGGAAATAATTCAATTCGTTTAATTGATAAAGCGTTAAGCGCAATTATTAATAATTAATTTTTCAGTGATTGATACAATTGTTTAGGGACAGTTAAACTATTTTTTTAAAATATAGAACCTCTATCTTTGTTTATAATTTATTAATTAAAATAAGATTTTTTTTAAATAATTAAAACAGGCCTTTTTACTATATTATTTGAAACAAAAATTAATAACTAATAAACATAATAAATAATTTTAATTATTTCTCATTCTAAACCTATCGAATATCTTTTTTTTTTAAAATGCAAGGTAATCTTTTATAGAACCTACATAATTAACGTTTCTTCTAATAATAATAAAAAAAACTCTTAGAAAAATTATTAATTTTACAAATACTAGAGTAGTCTCCCTTGACAGGTTCTATTGGAATGTATTTAGTGTTGATTTTCGTTGTGAAATACAGTTGACTTTTTAAATTAATTATATAAGAAAACAATCTATCTCTGTGTATATTTGTTTTAGAAAATATTATTACAATGCTTAGAATAGGTCTTTCTGGTTAGATAGCAATTATTAAATTATTTCTCATTCTAAATCTTTGGCTATCGAGTTTCATGGGTTTTTTAAATTTATGATTATGAACACATTGGCTTGACGAAAATGATTATATACACTTAAATACATAATAAAATTTACTTTTATTAATAAACCTACACTATTTTATGCACACACACACTCACACACACACACACACACAAAGAATATTTTAGCGGCAGGTACAACGTCAAAAAAAGAAAGGAAACTCCTTTAAACTGAATAGTTATACCTAACAACAAAATTTAAAAAATACATAGTCTAAGAGCACACTAGCACATACATACATACATACGAACATATATGTGTGTGTGTAAATAGGATGTGAGGTAGGCAGACAGGCAGGGTGGAAGGAAAGCAGTTTGGCAGCAATAACGGTAGATAGGAAAGTAGGTAGGCAGGCGGCAGCGCAGGCAGGTTAGTAGATGATTAGAATTAATAATTGCGTTTAACGCTTTATCAATTAAACTAATTAAATCATTTCCGTTTTGATAAACTCTCTCTCTCTTTATAACTATTAACGCTTTATCATTGACTTTCTCGAGAGAAATATCTAAGAGAGCGGTAGTTATCATTGAATCTGTCATTGATAATTTCATTGAGTCTTACATTGAAAAAAAGGCTTTGATCGGCAGCTTGCTCTCTCTCTCTCTCTCTCTCTCTCTCTCTCTCTCTCTCTCTCTCCAGCCGATCAAACCACCCCATGCGAATGGCTATCTCTGTATCTGTCAATGATCGGATCACTGAGTAACTAATAGATATACGGTCACTTCCTGTGTGGATCAGCCGACAAACTCAATGATAATTGCTCCGACTTTTGAATCTATAAATAGAATAACAAAAGGAAGGAAACGAAATTTTAAACTGATTTCCGCCATTACAAAAATAATATGAAACCTACAGTTCACGACACATCGCATAGGAATTTAAAATAAATATTAGGCCTATAGGTTTAATACATATTTCTTAGAATATAGAAATTTAGATCTAGTGTTCTGGTTAGTAGTTATTTCATGTTTATTAGAATATAGTCTAGATTCTAGAATCTAATTATACGGCTGCATAAAAAGAAAACCCATCTGCCATCTAGATCTAGAGAAGCGGAGGTAAGAAGGTTAAATTAGTAATTTACATGATTTTTATTGTAGTTTCACTGTTTGTTAGGCCCAATTATTAAATCTTTAGATCAGAGGTCCAGCTTGATCATGTGTGGTATCTATTGTGGTGCATTGGAATGAAAAGCCCACATACTTAAATATAGAATCTAGTAGGCCTATACTATAACTGTACTGCCCTATACTTTAAATTTGTTACCACAAGAAAAAAGCCTATTTACTATTATTAGTTATAATTAAATTAAATTGAAATATTTGTTTATCTTTATAGTTTATAGTGAATGCATGCTAATGAGCATTATTCAAGCTGCTGTTATATTTAGGCTTATAGGCCTATATACTAAAAGTATATACTCTATAGCTTAGGCTATATACTATAGACTATATATTATATACCAATATTGTGCATAAAACTTAAAGCATGTAAGCATACACAATAATAATTATCATTAGACCTATAGTAACTAAGACTCATACTATTTAGTACTACTTTAATACTACCTTTAAACTATTAGGCATAATGAAATAATGATTAATAATTTCAGTGTTTTCCGCACTCAAGAGGAAGGAGGTTGCAGGGAACTTAGAGACTAATCTTTGCCAACATACTGGATTTCTGGTGATGACAATAGGAGCAAATAGTATGCGGCTCAGTTAATACTAAAAACAATTGATTTTAGTAATTAGTGGTAAGCTCTTTTTTAAAATAATATATTATAACATGGTATCGCAAAGGTTCAGGTTGTCCGATAAATGATAATTAGAGTCAGGTTTAGGACTATAGTTTAATGCTTGGTTAGTAATATGCATCAAGTTGGGAAAGACAAAGAAATGGAAATACATAGAATTTAATGTGTTCATTCGCAAACGTTACTATTTAAAATTTTTTAGGCCTGCTATTTATTGCTGAATAATAAAATCACTATACTTATCCACTATATTATGTTTAAATAAAGTGAGTTTAGATCAGTCGAGTAAATAAATTTAATAGCAAGACATAACTAAAATTTACAATGAATATATATATATATATATATATATATATATATATATATATATATATATATATATATATATATATATATATATATATATATATATTGCTATTTTATAAAAGTATGTAAATCACAGAACAAACATTACTTTGTATTTTGTCTACAACTTAACAAAAATGCTACTACTTTGATGGATTGCACTAAATAGGGGTTAGCTTTAATTTAATAATTTGTGAGATATTCTTGCTAATCTATGTGGAAATTGCTTTTCAGGACTATGAGTGTGTGTTTGGTCATCCAGATTTCATAACTACAACTGATGTTCAATTACAAGGGATATTAATCAGTCTCCGTGGACTATACACTGTGCCTAGTTTCATCCTCAGGTAACTGTACTATAGGCATAACCCATTTTTTAAAGTAATTATTATAGCAAGAGATAGCATTATATGTTAAAATAAATATAATGGATTTTAATCCAAAATATTTTATTAATTATTGTCTTTTCTTAAATTCTAATAAATCAGTGAGTTGTACAATATATTATATTTGAATGATAATTGAAACACATATTGTTATAGAGCTCAAAACTATGTACTTATCTAATATAATTAATATACTGAAACAGTTTTATTGAAGCATATTATTTCATATTTTACCACACAGAGACTGATGTGTAAGCTTAAAGTAAAGACATCAAATCAAAGTATCAGCTATCAAGAGGGTAAATATTGATAGTCTACTTCATTAATCTTCAATATGAATGAACACAATTTTAAATCTATAATATTTGCTGATAATGTTTGTTTCTTGTTATTCATCATGTTCAGTGCTTTATCTTTTCAAAGTAATTAGTTATAGTAAAGAAATAGTAGAGATAGTAATATAAATTTGTAATGTATTTCTCTTGCTAGTTCCACAAAAGAATATTTCAAAATATTTTGTCTTTATTTCATTTACAGAAGAACATTCAAAATCATATTGTGATACACAAATCAAGCAAGTCTATAACCAGCAATATGATACAGGCCAAGAAAAAGCTGGATATTTGATTGGAAGGGTGGCACAAAAAAGATGGGTTATCACTAGGGAAACAAGCTCGGAATACAGTTCACTGTTGGGACATCAAGCCAAATACTTCTAAACTTATTTGAATCATTTTTGCTGTTTATTATAATTCATCCAATTGTCTTATTAAATATATAAATTTATATATATACACAATTCCTAATATAGAATTTCTAAAAATGTTTTATTATAATATTTAAAAATGAAACAAACATGTTCCCAGAACACAGCCACATAATGTCAACATGTTCCCAGAACACAGCCACATAATGTCAACATGTTCCCAGAACACAGCCACATAATGTCAACATGTTCCCAGAACACAGCCACATAATGTCAACATGTTCCCAGAACACACAAAATGGCAACATGTTCCCAGAACACAGCCAAACAATGTCAACATGTTCCATGAACTCACAAAATGGCAACATGTTCCCAGAACACACAAAATGTCATTATGTGCCCAGAATACACAAAATGGCAACATGTTCCCAGAACACACAAAATGGCAACATGTGCCGAGAACACAAAAAATGACAACATGTGCCGTTAACAATACTTCACTTTTTCCTTAACAATTTTACAAGCAGGTAATAAAGCCATAAATCTTTACTGTGGATATAGCCAATAAATAGGGTAACCTTCACTTTATGCAATTTGTAGTTTTCAATGCCTGTCCCATGCATAGTATTTAGCTTAGTGTTTTGGGCCTTGCTTCATTTACTCAATAAATTATATAGGCATGAGAATTTTCATTTTAATCTGCAAAAGCTACATTCTGTACATTATTATTTTCAAACTACATCATATATTTTTCTCCTCTCTGATAAAAAATATTCCTCATATTGTTTGTGTCAAGTATTTTATTTTTATCTATGCAATGCTATATTCCTATTTTATAATAATTACTTTTATACAAATTCTTTTGAAAACTGTTCTTTATTGATTTGTATCATTTTCTTTATTTCTGAAAAATAAAACTTTGTTTGGGAATCCTTTTTTTGTTTCTGTACAAATTAATAAATATAAATACCTACCAGGCTTAATATCCAGCAACATTAAACAATTAAGTAAGGCCTATTGTTAGTAATGGTAAATTTTATACTAATTAATGTGATTTCTCCTGGCCACCTTGTTCTGAATACCTTCAACTGTGTCAATGTTGCTACCAACTCCAATAATTAAAACTGAAGTCATTTACTATGAAGTAAAACTTGGGTGTAATCCAAATCCACCCAGTTGCCGGGGGCAAGGTACCAAACATGATGTCCAGTAGAGGGTTAAGAAAGTATCATTATTAAATCACTATTAAACCCCTCCTCGCCTACGCCATTGCTTGTACGCATATGGAAGTTATCGGAATTTACTGTATTGCTTATAAGTCGAAAATGCGAAAAAGACACGTTTAACATTACTAGTTTGAAGAATAACATTCATGTTAGCCGAAACAGGTGTATTCTAAAGTTGTTTAAATTCATTTTATTGTTCATTACGATTATGTTGTCGTAAAATATAGGCCTATTTTAAAAAAGCATAACTAAAAAGTGTTTTAACGCATTTTCTTCTTAGAAAAGCCTCACATGCATGATATCATTAACATTACGGCAAATCAAACCCTTGAAGAAGCCCCATCAACCATTCAATTATTACGATGGGCAACAAATAAAACGCCCGCATCAAGGTACAGTCCTTATGCTATCGACATTAGCTCAATCCCGGCAACTAACGTGTCCCAAAACCAAGAATTGAAATCTTGACCCATTATTCTGATTAATTAGTGGTTAAACATCTTTAGGCATCTGAAAACGTTAGTTTTTAATCTAGTGTACTCAAAAAGGAAGAACATAAAGCTTTATGCCGCCTTAAAAACCCAATCCCATGTTACGCAAGGCGTCGATAGAGAAAGAATAAGGCTTTGAGTCAGAACAGGCAAGGGCTTAGATAACTGCCAAAATACCATATCTGTAGACCTCACAAGTCTTGACGATAGATTTGTGCCTCTGTTTTTAGACTTTCAGAACAAATACATGTGATGTGGTCAGTAGGCACATAAAAGAGAAAAGTAGTTTTAATCTAGAGACTTCAAACATTTCTGAAGGACCGAATTTGAACTTGTAGGCCGTGGTGTCGATGCCAAAGTTTAGCGTCGTCCGCAAAGATAAGCTATCGTTATATCATCTCTATGCCCATATTGTGACAGATATTTACAAATGTGTCTAATATAGGACAGAATACATAGCTACTCAACAGAGATAAGAGAAATCAATTGTCCACGACTTAAGAAACCACTGTACTGCAAAACCCACCTAAATGGAAAATGTCTTAGATGTGTGTTTTAATACAAATGTGTCGCGAGTTAGGACCTGTAGGTAGTCTGTTACTACTCTATATCTAAAAACAATAAAAAGATAACGTGAATTTTACTTGTTAAATTTCTTGGTTAACTGTATTTGTTGCATCTTGTTCAATTTTGTTAATATTGATTAGCCTAAAGGGTTCAAATGTAACAAAGAAAATTGTGACTAAGTTTCCGGGTGCGGGTATGCGGACACTAGTTAAAGTAGGCCCTATATATCTATTTATATTTATAGAAATGAAAGTATGTTTATCTGTTTGTCCTATATGAATTACTACATCTTTTTCATCGGATCGCCATAAAACTTTGTGAACAGAGTTTTTTCCAGGAATCTATTCGGAGGGGGGAGGGGGGAAAGCAGAGCCCACCCAGCCCCCGAAGAAAGTCTATCGACCCCCCCCCCCCCCCCGAACGAAACGGAATTTATATAGAAAAAAAACTTTTAACAGTGTCCGCACGCCCCACCCCCCGGAAAGATTTCGCCAGGGCGGCGCCCTAGCAGGAAGTAGAAGCGTAGCAACCTATTCCGGCGCCCGGGGCGAACTATCAATTATGTGCCAACCCTATTCAAACGCTGGCAAAAAGGCGCCCATCTCTACATACACTCCCCTATATAAAATAATTGAGGATATCAGTCATGTATAAAACTGTATTCTTAAATTTTACTGAAGAATAAGGATTTTTTAAAAATTGTCTACCCCTTTTGGCGCCCCATTCGATCTGGGGTCTCTGACAGGAAGCAATGCAATTTTTCTCCATAAAAATAAAAGCCAGATGCAATTTGACACTGTTCGTACGAGAGTCATAAAATTTTGGGTAGTTGGTGAAAAGGGTTTCGAGAAAGAAAAAAATTCTTAAGCGTGGCACCCTGGGAGGGTTCGATTTTTCTAATTATACGATTATGAGCTCAGAATACATAGGGGAATCCAGAGGGGCTATCTCATCAATTGCGGTCATAGGTAATACTAGATTCAGCAGAGGCGTAGCGAGGGGGGCGGGGGTACATATGTTCCGGGCGCCAACCCTAGGGGCGCCTAAATGGTTGGAAAAATTTAAAAGCTCATTTTAGCTATAGTTTTGCATTATAAATATTTAAAAAAATACGGGGGGGGGGGTGGGGGGGGGGACGCCAAATTGAAAGTTTGTCTCCGGCGGGAGGGGGGGGGGGGCGCCAAATTGAAAATTTGTCCCCAGGCGCCAGGAATGGTGCTACGCCTCTGAGATTCAGTGATAAAACTACACCAGGTTCATCCGCCAGCTCCCCGGCGGTTGAGTGGCCCAGAGCGGCCAAGACCCATCTCGGGCGACACTACGGTTTAGATGGGCTACTATAAATGTTCAATAAGTAGAATAATGAGCGCCCGCCGGTGCCCTGGCAGTTGGCGACAGCGAGCGCCCCGGGATCTACAGAGAGTGCCTCCTTAAAGAGCACCCTACAATAGGGACACGGTGGCAAACGACATTTTATAATTAAACCGAATTAGGGGCGCCCCTGCGAAAATATAACCAGTGGCTCCCTGGAGCGCCAAGGGACGCGTCTCTAACACATGGGCGGTCGCCAATGTGTGTTCTACCTTCCTATTACAGAGGTTGATTAACGTACACTCAAGGCTTTCATACAGTGAGCCTCGGTGCGTCCAGGACAAACCCGCGCCCCAAAAACGAATATGTGGGTTTGTTTGTTTAAGCATTACCAAAGATTTCATTCGTTTTCATTCAAATTTGAGAAGCTAATGCTAATACCCCTGTAGTGGTTTCTGCGAAAAAAAAATCGATTTGGTGGCGCCCTGGCAGGGTTCCATTTAGCTCCCCGTGTTTTCCCGTGAGTACTATGGTACCTTTGTTCGTTTTAATAATTGCGAAACGCTATGAATATGATGGGCTACTATAATCGCTCACTATACCGAGTGAGGCGCCTTCCTACCTAGGCCCACCTACCTACATACCTAACTCCCTGCCTATGTACCTACCTATCTACTAACCTGCCTGCGCTGCTGCCTGCCTACCTACTTTCCTACCTACCGTTATTCCTGCCAAACTGCTTTCCTTCCACCCCGCCTGTCTACCCACCACACATCCTACTTACACACACCCATATCTTCGTATATATATATGTATGTGTTAGTGTGCTCTAGGACTATGTATTTTTACATTTGTGTTGTTACGTAGAACTATTCAGTATAAAGGAGTTTCCTTTTTTTTTTGACGTTGTAACTGCCGCTAAAATATTCTTTTTTGTATGTGTGCATAAAATAGTGTACGTTTATTAACAAAAGTAAATTTTAGTATGTATTTAAGTGTATATAATCATTTTTGTCAAGCCAATATGTTCATAATCTTAAATTTAAAAACCCATGAAACTCGATAGCCAAAGATTTAGAATGAGAATAATTGCTATTTAACCAGAAACACCCATTCTAATTATTGTAATAATATTTTTTTAAATAAATATACACAGAGATAGATTGCTTTCTTATATAATTAATTTAAAACTGTATTTTAAAACTGTATTTCATAACGAAAATTAACACAAAATACATTCGAATAGAAACTGTCAAGGGAGACTACTCTAATATTTGTAGGAATAATAGTTTTTATTTAGAGTTTTTTTTTATTATTAGAAGAAAAGTTAATCATGTAGGTTCTATATAAGATTACCTTGCATTTAAAAAAAAAGATATTCGATAGGTTTAGAATGAGAAATAGTCAAAATTATTTATTATATTCATTAGTTGTTTTTTTTAATAATATAGTACAAAGACCTGTTTTAATTATTTTTTAAAAATCTTATTTTAATTAATAAATTATAAATGAAGATCGAGGATCTATATTTTTAAAAAAATAGTTTAACTGTCCCTAAACAATTGTATCAATCGCTGAGAAATTAAGAATTAATAATTACGTTTAACGCTTTATTAATTAAACGAGTTGAATTATTTCCGTTCTAATAAACTCTCTCTCTCTTTATAACTACTAACGCTTTATCATTGAGTTTCTCGAGAGAAAAATACAGGAGAGCGGTAGTTATCATTGACTCTGTCATTGATAATTTCATTGAGTCTTTCATAGAAGATAGTGTTTGATCGGCTGACTACGCCATCCCACTGACTTTTGTTAAAATAAGTGAAAAAGATAGAAATCTCTTGGTTATTAATGATTACATATTAATTTTACGTTAAAAATGTTGGTATTAAATTAGCAATAGTGTAAAAATCTATCATTGGTTTGATTATTATGTGGGTAATATAAAGGGTTAGATTATAGGCATATTTTTTTCAAAAACCTAAGCAAAGGTGAGGTTGTAGTTAACGATTCTTTGAATTGTCCAAAAAACATTATGTATTCTATATATCCAGGAATTTTTTTTGTCTCTGTGTCACCCCCCTAAATGGCGTCACCCTGTGCGATCCGCATCCCCCGCCCCACCTCGAGACGCCTCTGAATGTACGTAGAGGCCGTACTTTCTCAGCGATAGAGTTTCAAGTTTATACATAGTATACTTAGCTGTTGTACCTCTGTTATATACTCAACTATAGGAAAAAGCCTCCAGACTCTATAGTGTGCTCAAGGCTGACATTTAAAAAAGGAGTCGATAACAGCCACGGTGAATTCTTGACTTGTTTATTACAGTTTTTACTTACTTTACAACGTCCGTTTGTTAACTTAAGGCCAATCTTGTTATTCAATTTTGAACCATTTTTGACTCATTTTTAATGGAGCTACTTCATTCAAACTTTCCTGATGCGTTTAACTTCGATGAAGATACAAGACTATTTAATTTTTAATTTAATTAGATGCTTAATTAGTCAGTGAAAATTAATTAAACGGTTTGGAAACTAAGGGAAAATGAGATTAAAAGCAAACACAAAAGCAAATTCAAACCCAAAATCAAAGAAAACACAAACAAAAACGCAAATACAAAACCATTTGCAAACTCAAACATAAACACAAACGCAAACACAAACACAAATACAAACACAAACGAAATGTGTACCCAAGCGTAAACAATAACCCAGAAAATAATGCGATATTAAACGCCAACATAAACACAAACTTAAACACAAATATAAACGCATAGTGCTCATAGTATTGCCTGGAGCCCTCAAATCACATCCTGCCGGGGTTTCATGCCTAAAACCATTGCGCACCTAATGAACGCGATTACGCGTCTATAATAGTGCGGAATAGTTCATTAACAATTATAATTAGTAAATAGTATGTTCTGTAAGTAAAATAAATAAAAGATTGCCTTTTATCAATCCATGCTAATAATAATATTCTAACAATAATGTCCTCTTACACATCCGTGTAATTTGCATTCACATTTTGCTAATTATATTATTGCAACAATAATTCCTTCTTCGAGGTCCGCAGATTTTGTATTCACATTTTTTTTATTAGGCCTAGCGTGAGTCGAATTTATTTTTAAATTACCTCCCTTGGAAAATTACAAAACAGTTCAATTATTTTGTTTTTTCGACCCTATTATTATTGAAATGTATCCACTTCTACTAGGAATCTAAACGAAAATGGTATTTGACATTGATCCGCTTAATATGTATTAGCAATATGCGTGTATTTAACATTTTCTTTACGTTATGCAAACGAGTAAAACAGTGTGCAACTATAAAATAAATTTAAGTCGTTATATAAACAAACCCTACTCTATGACTAATAATAAGTCACTGCTATGCAAGTAAAAAGCACGACATGTAAAGAGTTTACTTTTATGGTTCCAAAATCTATAGCGAAGACGGACTGACACACTACCTAGCCGCTTATATTATACATAATGCACTAACAAGTAGAAAATAAATTATACACTACTATTTAAATAACTATAAAAAAGCGTGGATCTCTTCCTAAATATTAGTAAACATATCCAATAGATACTAAAGTGACCCACGCTTTTCTTTATAATTATTTAAATAGTAGTGTATACTAAATTATTTATTTTCAACATTTTATTGCATAAAAGCTTGTTATAAAAACGGTTTTTATGAATTTTTTTTAGTCCATTACTACACAAAACCTTGTTATTAAAACGCTTTTAATCCAAGTTTTTTTCAGTACTTTCATTTTTTTTTTAAATTTACAATAGAGTTGCATGAGTAAAAACTATTGCGCACCAAATGAACGTCTGCCTACTAATTTCAGAACATTTTAATTTATTCATCAAAATTAATTTTGGCTTCTAATTACGTCAGCTTTAACGTCATATTGCACTGTCATCAAGTCTTGATCCACGTGCCAATTTTAAACCGAATTTGTCAGTTAGAAGTGTCCGAAATTTAGCCCGCCCGTTTTGATAAGTGACGACTAGCAGAGGAAGCAAGTTAAATATATATTAAATATAATATATAAGTTTGTAAAAAAACAACTTGTAAATAGCTTTGGTAGTTAATGAGATTGCTTACTTATATAGCGACCAAAGCTTTTATGAAAGAAACCAAGTTTGTTTTTCTTCTGTGCATTTAAGAGCTTGTTACTATAAAGTTTTTTTATATTATTTTTTTTTAAACAAACCTGCCAAAGCGTATTGTTTAAATATCAACCGAAACAAGATTGTACCAACCAACAAGATTGTTTCACATATTATGCTTTGTTTGACAACAATTTCAGAAAAGTTACTTTAAACTTTGAACTCATATTATAAAATATAAATAAATGTATCGAGGCGTTGATGAAATCAATGGTCGAAATAATGTAAATATTTGTCCAATACAGATTATTGTAAAATTTTAGCACGTTATACTCTGGTTGAATCATCATGGCCAGGTACTGGGCCACTCTTGGGGCCAAATTGATGATGTAAACAGCTATGACAACCAACAGCATCCTGACCACTTGTTTCTCTTTACAAGTCTGTTTGGCCTCTTGGGGGGTTGTCAGTGAGCCGGACTTAGCGGTTAAATTTTGTTTCTTAAAGCTGTAGGACGAGTTAAGCTGGTAGGCGATTATGACGGTGCTAATGACTATAATGAAAAAAACAATTATGGGATATGCCGTGTTCAAAGATTTGACTGCACTCCAATAGCTTGGGCCGAGGTATCTTTTGTATATGCCCGAGTAATCGTAGACTGCTATTGTCGTGTTCAAGTCCTTAATATAAATCCATTTGCACTCAAAAATAAAGAAAGATGTTGATAAAGTTCCAAAGACAACAAGTGATAGGATGATACAGGCCATGATTGCTCTCTCTTTAGTCACCAAACTTTTGACTTTAAAAGGCGCTATGACACACAGACACCTCTCTACCGCCACATACCCCCCCCCCCCCAGGACGAAGGAGACGTTGCCGGAAATGATCTGAAGATATGTCAGGCTTGTCGTGCCGATGTTCTGCCAGGACTTGCCTAACGCCGGAGAAAACAAACCGATGGGGCCGTACATCCGGTTTAGTCCTCCGGCTAAAACTCTGACCAGATCCCAAAAAGCGATAGTCGTCATAGTAACGTTGACGGTGTCCTTGAAGCCCATCTTGAGAAAGACCCGGATGCTGAGGACGTTGGTCACTACACCAAACAGGCAGATGAACAGACAGAGCCAGACGTCCAGGGCGAAGGTCAGTGTGTCAAATAAAGAATCCCAGACGATAATGTCTTTCAGTTGTTCTGATGGGTATGCTGCTGGCGAGCCATTTAAAGAGAATGGCCACACAGGCCTGACCGTCTCATTCCTTAAACGGACATCCATCCTGACAAAATTAAACAAAATCTATTTACGTCCAGCAAACTCCTTCACCTAATTTGTGAGACATTGTTTTGTTACTTGTTACATTTTTTTGTTTCGTCTCAGCTTCTAAAAATATCTTGATATGTATGACAAAATTGTACAATACATTAGTATGAATAACAAGTATGATAAACTAGTATGATACACTAATATGATACATTAGTATGATGAACTTGTTTAATGAACATATAAGATAAACTAGTATTATAAACTTATAAAATATATGATAAACGTGTATAATAAACTTGTTTGAACCCAAAGCGTATGCCACACAACCATCAAACAGTCGCCAGCAGTTAAAATTTTTCTGGAATGTTACAGAATTCAAGACTAAATTTCTACGGCTCCCTGACAAGTAACACATTGATTTTAAATACAAATTTATTTAAAATAAAAGTCTACTAAGTGATGTTAAGAACAATATGATCATCAAAATTGAAAGGAACCCGTTTATTATCATCAAAGCGTTTAGTCAATCTATATTTTCTAGAGTCGTTTAATTTTACGACGGTGAGATTAGTGGTTTACAGTTCGCTCTTTGTTGTCGTGCTGGTCTGTTATTTGTTGATTCCCTCGTATACTGGGAGTAAACGTTTGTTAATTGCCTGCTATCATGCGAGGCCGGTAATTTGGGTTGGTTTGTTAAAGAATTTTCTTGGTTTCCTGAGCCTAGGAGTTCAATAGCTTTACAGATAGCTTTCCATGACAAAAATACCAGTGACTGAAGTACCAGTAACTGAAGTACCAGTGACTTAAGTACCAGTGACTAAAGTACCAGTGACTGAAGTACTAGTGACTGGAATACCATTGACTTAAGTACCAGTGACTGAAGTACCATTGACTGAAGTACCATTGACTAAAGTACCAGTGACTTAAGTACCATTGACTGAAGTACCAGTGACTGAAGTACAAGTGACTGAAGTACTAGTGACTGAAGTACCAGTGACCGAAATACCAGTTATTTAGATACAGCCCATTACCACAATCAGTGTATACAATAGTTGTCAGGCAATCGGAAGTGTTTCCACTGTGAGGTATATTTCAAGAAATAAAATATTGTAGAAGCAGTTTGCTGGCGATAGTTACAGAAAAATCTTGTGGGATGCATCGTGTACTTAGGAGCATTTGTAAGCCGTTAATAAATGATATCTAGTGTAATTTTTAGCATTTGTAAGCTGTAAGTAATTATATATCGTGTAGTTCGTAATGAACCTCGCATCTGAGACTACAGCTAAAGAGATCTTCTCATCTTACACAAACAAATTACTTCATATTGCTGTTGTCTCATATGCGAAGATCTCAGCTGTTAATGTTATTGAAAAACAATTGGACACGCTCTAGCTCACGCTACTTGACTGTGTTCTAGATCACGATACTTGACTGTGTTCTAGCTCACGATACTTGACTGTGTTCTAGCTCGCGATACTTGACTGTGTTCTAGCTCACGATACTTGACTGTGTTCTAGCTCACGATACTTGACTGTGTTCTAGCTCACGATACTTGACTGTGTTCTAGCTCACGATACTTGACTGTGTTCTAGCTCACGATACTTGACTGTGCAGTAGCAGTCAACCATTGTAACCTTCCACCACACCCTACTAGGAGATATTACAGATAAATCAAATAGACACATTTTCTAAAGGGTCAAACCGTGTTTTTACTTGAATGTGTGTAAATGTAGGAACCATCGTGAATAGATAGCAAAGAGTATTAATAGAAAAGCGATTGTGCATTTTTCTTTAACGTGTTGATGTTATTTTGTAGTAGGCAACAATACATGAGTAAGCTCACTGTAAAATCTACTAACTAAATGTATCTTCTGTATTTTTTTCTGTCATCAATAATTGACACTAGAATACCCAATTAGAACACCATAGATTAACCAGAAAAAACTTCAACATTAAAACAGTAACTTAACTTTTGTCCCACTCGCCACACAAAAAATTCCATCGATGTATAGATTAGTTTGTTTTATCAAAAAATGTTATCTCTGAATTCAGCCGAAAAACTGTGTCAATTAAATTTTTCCTTTTTTCTGTCATATAATCTTTAAACCAACTGACGTCTCGTGTGAACATTAACATAAGACCCCGGCAAAGTCGTAATGTAAACATTTCTATCACACAACAACTTCATGATTCCAACATTAACATAATACTTAGGAGAGGTTGTGACATTAACATAAAAACCATTACGTAGCACAATCAGTTGCAACTTTTGCTGATGTTTATTTTCCACGAACTGTTAAACACGCTAATATAAGAGGTTTTACATTTTTAATGTAATATCAGACACTGAAGGAACAATTAACTAGACCTGCCCAAATTTAGTTAAGGCTGGTACATAATAACAGTTTGTTATGGAAAGGTGTGGTCTTACAGACACCCATCTCTGACTCGTGATATGGAAAGTAAAGGCATCTTTAAAGCTGAAAACACTATAGCTTTATATTCCAATGTTACAGAAATAGGTGAACTCTACTTCACCTGACACATGGGCAACTAGGTTATAAAGGGCAAAGTTACTTCATTTACTTTTAAAATATATTGGTGAACTCAGCTGACTGGAGGATATTTTCATGAAGTGAAAGTGACAACAACTTATCAGAATGGGATATTAAATGGGATCTTTTTTTACTTCTGGCCAGCATACCCCGCAGTCTGGTACAAGAAAAAAATTGATCTGGTACAAGAAAAAAAATAGTCTAGTACAAGAAATGAAATGATCTGGTACAAGAAATAAAATAGTCTGGTACAAGAAAAAAATTGATCTGGTACCAAAAATGAAACGATCTGGTACAAGAAAAAAATTGATCTGGTACAAGAAATAAATAGTCTGGTACAAGAAATAAAATAGTCTGGTACAAGAAAAAAAATTGATCTGGTACAAGAAAAAAAATTTGATCTGGTACAAGAAATAAATAGTCTGGTACAAAAAATAAAATAGTCTGGTACAAGAAATAAATAGTCTGGTACAAAAAATAAAATAGTCTGGTACAAGAAAAAAATTGATCTGGTACAAGAAATAAAAATAGTCTGGTACAAGAAATAAAATAGTCTGGTACAAGAAAAAAAATTGATCTGGTACAAGAAATAAATAGTCTGGTCCAAGAAATAAAATAGTCTGGTACAAGAAAAAAAATTGATCTGGTACAAGAAATAAAATAGTCTGGTACAAGAAAAAAAATTTGATCTGGTACAAGAAATAAAATAGTCTGGTACAAGAAAAAAATTGATCTGGTACAAGAAAAAAAATAGTCTAGTACAAGAAATGAAATGATCTGGTACAAGAAATAAAATAGTCTGGTACAAGAAAAAAATTGATCTGGTACCAAAAATGAAACGATCTGGTACAAGAAAAAAAATTGATCTGGTACAAGAAATAAATAGTCTGGTACAAGAAATAAAATAGTCTGGTACAAGAAAAAAAATGATCTGGTACAAGAAAAAAAATTTGATCTGGTACAAGAAATAAATAGTCTGGTACAAAAAATAAAATAGTCTGGTACAAGAAAAAAAATTGATCTGGTACAAGAAATAAATAGTCTGGTACAAGAAATAAAATAGTCTGGTACAAGAAAAAAAATTGATATGGTACAAGAAATAAATAGTCTGGTACAAGGAAAAAAATTGATCTGGTAACAAAAATAAAATGATCTGGTACAAGAAATAAAATGATCTGGTACAAGAAATAAAATAGTCTGGTACAAGAAATAAATAGTTTGGTACAAAAAATAAAATGATCTGGTACAAGAAAAAAAAATTGATCTGGTACAAGAAATAAAATAGTCTGGTACAAGAAATAAAATTTGATCTTGCCAGCCTACCCTGCAGATTATAAAGAGAAAACTTTTGGGAAAATTGAAACATGCAGTTTCTCTACAGCTTTATTTCAAATAACCAGTAGACCAAACATGGCATCATGAATTAAAGCTGCGTCCAATAAAATAAAATTAAACGGGAGTGATCTCCCCTAAACTTTCTCGAATATTCTTAGATAACACTACGTCGATGGCAACTCGAGATATAGACACGATTTTTAATCAGTCTCTATATACTTGATCTTTAAAAAAAAATAGAATAGAATCTCGTAGAAAAAAAGAATTGCGCACCAAGCGAACGACAAACAACATGTGTATAACAGTGCGGAGTAATGTTAGTAGTTTATCAATTTATATGCGTATTTTTAATAATTTGAAATAGTGTAAATTACTACTTCTGGTCAACAGAAATTACTTATAATTTGATGTAAGGCGGAAAATTAGATCTATTACTTATATGTCGAATTTTGTATATCTATGTGAAACAGTAATCAAGATATAGGATCTTAAAAAACAAAGCGTAGAATAAGTTCCGCTTCCGGTTACCGGGAATCGCTCAAAAGTTGATAAGGAGCTACAACTTTGATATAATACTTATATATGAAATTTCATCACCCTCGCTCTAACTGTACTCAAGTTATCGTGTTCACAGACATACAGCAGTTAAACCCATTTTGACTTCTGGCTCAAGCAGAACTCAGCCATCAAATATTTCCAGCATGAAAGTATCACCAGAGAACATCCATTTGTAAGGATGTGGTCACATGACATGCCTTGGAAACAAATTGTGTTCGAATATAAGAAATAACATTGAAAAAACGCTGTAAAAACAATTAACATATCTACAATACAAACGTGAACATTGAATGGTGGTAATAACTGTTTGGTGTTTATGATTTGCGATGACTGGAACAGTTGTGCAACAGAAAATTGCGCAACGGAAAAACCGCGTACAATAAAGTGTGCAAAGGCATTTTTGTTTTCTTAAATAGAGCATTTATAGATATCAAAAAAGATTAACTACATCTACATTGTAGAATAGTAAAACATTTCCACGAACTTTGGCAAAATTATAGTGTATAAGTATAATTAGTTGTTTTTTTTTTTTTTGGCATTTTCTTTTTGCAAATTTTTGAGATTGCGCTTTTTTCTCGGACCGTTATTCAGACACTGACCAAAAGCGTGTATTAATAAATAGCCACTCACTCCGATTTCAGCCTGTTTTTTTTTTCAAGAACAAACTTCAAGGCAACAGTTGTATGATTTTAAAGATGTGTCTTCTAGAAGAGTTGGTGTCCCCAGCTGTTGAGCATTATCTGCCCGAGGGTTCAAACTCTAGACTTTTCAGTTTAGCAACAATGAGCTTTTGCCGACTCGACCACGCCGACCTCTCATCTTTTTTCGAATCATCAACATCCAGTATAACAGGTTTCCCTGGGGCTGGGGCTTGTAACACATGGGCTTGGAGGTTAGGGGCTTGTAACACATGGGCTTGGAGGTCAGGGGCTTGCATAAACAAGGGGGTGGGACAGTGCCTCATGCACATCCCCGTTCCCCTGTAGGTAAAATTTGTAAACATAGAAGTTCAGAGGCTAGGCTGACACTGGTACCAAAGACAGGTTCTTAAGTTGATCTTCTTGCTGATTTCTTTCCTGGAACTTCCCGCCTTTTCCTGGAGATACATGAAATCACAGAAAAAATATTTCATGGATTGTGCTTGTCCGTTTCATATTTTAAATACTACTTCCTAGGGAAAAAAAGTTATACCAAAATTAGAACTTAGAAATGATGACTTTTTAAATAAATTCCATTAAGTTTTTAAAACATCGAAAAAAGCTATCACATATTTTCAAATTTTAATACACTGATGTAATTATTTGCTCAAGTTGGATGTAGTGATTTCCACTATAGTTCGTGTGTCTGTGATTGTTTAACCAACGCCCAATCACTCCAGCAAGTTGTCAAAAAACTTGGTGTTAGGTTTATTAGCTTTGTGATAATCAGATTCATTAGTTTCTCTTCTTTCCACGTCAATTGCTTTGTAAAAATTTTATTTGAAAGAACTAAAAGGAATATATCTAGAGCTCGGATAAACTATACTTTTAGCCAGCCGTAGATTGTAGAACTACATCTAGCTCTATCTAGATCTAGATCTAGGTCAATAATAAGATTATATACTAAACCATTTCAGATCTTAATTATTTTATACAATTTTATAGCAATGGAATTTGCTAAAATATAATATAATTAAAGATTAAATAATATTTGAAGAATTTTAACTTTATTAATCTAATACGATGCTAAGTAAATGATAGTAGATGATAGTGTAACGGTAACCATTAGGGTAGTACGGGTTCGAGACACATCATGACAATGTATTTTATTTTTGTATTTTTAAATATTTCTTTTAGATAAATGATAAAGTTGCCGATCAGGACTTGGCGGGACACTGGGAAGGTGAAGTAGAGTTCACCTGTTTCTGTGATCTCAGCATATGAAGTGATAGTGTGGTTAGGCGAAATTGATGTTTTAAAAGATGGGAAGGGAAAAGATAAAAATCGTCAAAGAAACTTGACGATATTTATGGATAACCCCCGAAACACACGGTTATTCAAGAATAACGGGTCGTCTAGTATATTACTAAAAGCGAGAAATTTGTTTATATATATTTATTTTTTTTTATTTGTCTGTTCCGGTGGATTAGAGCATCTGCACTATGAGTAGAACTGTTAGTTACGTATTTATGTAGAGAATAATTTCCTTTTTTTCCTAACAGTTAAACACAAATTTATTTACAGAAGTTAATTAATTAATTAATATATTTATTCATTTGTTGATACACCCCTTTAAATATTAAAGTTTAGAAAACGGACCTTATTTTCAGAAAAAAAAATAAAACTTTCACCGGCTTTGTTACGTCAATATTTAAATTACTATAAAGAAAAGCGTGGGACTCTTCTTAAATATTAGTAAAGATATTCAATAGATAATAAAGTGGCCCAAGCTTTTTTATAGTAAAGAAAATATTAAATACACGCACATTGCTAAAACATATTAAAAAGATCAATGTCAAATATCTTTTTCGTTTAGATTCTCAGAAAAAGTTGATACATGTTAATAACATAATAACAGTAGGGTAGAAAAATCAAATTCATTTAACTATTTTTTTCTAATTTTAACAAAGGAGGTAATTTAAAAATAAATTAAGCTCACGCTAATAATAAAAAATGCGAATGCAAATCTACGGACGTCCTTGAAGGAATTAGTGTTGCAATAATATAATTAGCAAAATGTGAATGCAAATTATGCGGATGTGGAAGAGGAGATTATTGTTAGAAAATTATAATTAGCATGGATTGATAAAAGGCAATCTTTTATTTATTTTATTCACTGAATGTACTGTTTACTACTTATTATTTTTAATCAACTATTCCGCACTATTTTTATAGACGCGTCATCACGTTCATTGGGTGCGCAATGGTTTTAGTTATGAAATTCTATTGTAAATTTTTAAAATTTTAAGTAGGCCTACTGGGGAAAAAAATGCGTGAATTGATAAAGTGATAGAATCTATATGGTAGGTAAAACACGGATATTTTAAATACTGCCTATTATTTATTGTAAATTATTTATTGTTGTTCCATCTTTCGGTTTGCGGACAAGCTGGGGGTTTTATAGGAGAGGCGTAGCGAGGGGGGGGGGGGGCATATGTCCCCGGGTGCCGACCTTAGGGGGCGCCAAAGTGGGTTGGAAAAAAATTTGCGGGGGTTGGGGTGGAAATCGTAAGTATGAGGGGGGGGGGGGTTAAATCGAAAGTTTGTCCACGGGCGCCGGAAAGGGTCGCTACGCCTCTGTTTTATAGTCATTCACTGTGTCAGACGCGTCCGCCGGCGCTCGGAAAGGGCGCGATTTGGTGCTACGGGCTAGACTGTGAGCAATATGCCTTTATGTTTACATTTAAGATGTGCTTATGTTATGAGTGTTGTGTTTGTTTTTTCGTTTGTGTTTTTTTTTTGCTTTCTTTTGTGTTATGTGTAGAGTTTTGTTCTGTTCCCAAGTTGGTACATTTAAAAAAGATTTACCGTGGCGGAGCACGGGATGCAGCTAGTTCTTATATAAAACAACAGGGAATGGGAACTCGGGATATAGACATGATTTTTAATCAATTTTAAATGCTTAAACTTTTTAAAATAGAATAAAATCTCGTAGAAAAAAAATTGCACACCAAGTGAACGCCAAATAAAATGTGCATAATAGTGCGGAGTATTATTAGAAAAATCGGAAATAGCGTATATTATTACTTAGGTGTACGGAAATTACTCAAAATTTGATAGAAGGTAGAAAGTTAGATATTTTACTTACGTGTGAAATTTCATTTATCTATCTGAAATCGTACTCAAGTTATAGGCTTTTGAAAAATTCAAAGTAGAAAAAGTTCCACTTCCGATTATTGGAAATCGCTCAAAAGTTGATATATATCTACGATTTTGATATAATACTTATATATGAAATTTTATCAACCTAGCTGTAACGGTACTCAAGTTATCGTGTTTACAGACACAGACACACACACACACACATACACACGCAGACATACGGACAAGATTGCAAAACTATGTTTGCAAAATCTCGATTTTATTTTTGCACGATTACAAGACTTTCTCGTATATACGAGAAAGTAAAAATGTATGAAACGACATATGCTTTTCTTTTTTTTTTTTTTTAAATTTTCAAATCTGAAATATGTTAATGTTTTTTTTTTATCAGAGATCTCATATATACAATAATAAATATATCTAGATTAATAATTTAATTAAGTTAATATAAAAAAAATAATTAAATAAATGAATGACTAAAAGTAATTTTTTGAAGTTGTGCATATTATATTATTCTATTTCCATTTAACCCCAACACAAACAACTAATTTTCCTGTAATTGCAGTATTTTTATTTTTTATAGTAAACTTTCTCGTTTCATTTCACGAAAACAAAAATTGTTTTGCTGAACGGCAGGTTACAACCACGCCCTCTTTTAAAGTTTTTAAGAACGTTTAAAACATTAAAAACATTTTAAATATCACAAATATTATTTAAAATAATACATAAAATTCCGAACATTTTTGTATAATTGTGTGTAGTTTTGCTTCGTTATGTATTGTTTATTAGAAATCAATCACTTGTTAAATGAATCAAAATAATGACTTATTTCAAATTAATTGAACACAATTTTTCTCCAGAAAATTCACATAAAGCTTCAAAAACAGTTCTCTTAACTGTATAAGAGTTTCAGATAAAACTGCGATGTTTTAAATTAGTTTATTTGGTCTGGTTTTCGTCACTCATTGCTTTTATTTTCAAAATGCCGTGTTTTATGAATGTAGTGCTGGTTAGAACATCCTAACGTAAATACTACTTGCGAGATTTTTTTGTAAGCTTTGCATGCAAGTTGAACTCAACATGGCCATTAAAGGTAAAATATTCAAGCTAACGTCAACCAAACTATTTCACTTTGAAATATTTAAGGCATACACAAATATCGAATTTAATAATAATTTATCTTTCATAAGGCAAATACAATTTTTCAAGTTAAATAATAATCGATTTTTTTATTAGGCAAACACAAATATTCAAGTTAAACAATAAACGATCTTTCATTAGAAAAAAAGAAATATTCAAGTTAAATAATAATCGATCTTTCATTTGTCTTTGTCAAAGATATCTATAGGGAACATCTATAAAGTTCTTCACTGTGACGGGATTGATATTTACATACGTTTATTTACATCATAAAAGTATAAATATTTAGAGTTAATTAGCGCAATGTCTGAACACAAATCGATAGTTTTTAAATAAACAAATTCAATAAAATAATTCAGGCTTCATTTCATTCCATTAAAAAAAACTGAACTGCAGTATCAAGAAAAATATATAAAAAAATAAAAACTGTTCACTATTGATTTAACATGTCATACATTTCTGATGGAGTAATGTAGTTTTTAAATTAGAATGATATACGGCCTGAAATATTCAATATATACATAACTGTAAAATATATTATACTATTGAAGTTGTAATAGTCTGCTGCAGTTATACGAGTTCAGCCTCCACTGTATTTCCCTTAAGATCTGTGACTTTTTCCAAGCAGAAATAGATGTGTTCTTGTGTGTCTGCAGGCGAGTCTCGTTTTTTAAGTGGGACGTTTGGCTGGTAAAGCAGGAATAAAATGTATTAGACGATTAGTGTTATAGAACTTTTAAGACGATCACCTAAGCTTATAGAATTACCGAAGTGTGGGGATTATACATTGACCAACTACGGTTATAAAAGTATTGACGTGTGGAAGTCATAAATTTACCATTTAAAGGTATTAAAAATTACCGAGGTGTAAAACCAATTAAATGACCATATCATGGTTTTAAAAGCTTATTGAAGTATAGAGCTTATAAACTGACCAACACAAATTATTTGAAATGCAGTTAGCTGACGTCACAAACCTTCTGGTTACCTATTTCCTTGTTGTTGACAGAAGATTTTCCCACAGCCTCGTCGATGCTTTGGTAAATATCTAGCAACAAACAGATACAACCAGTGGCGTTTAGTTCTAGACTTTATATAACATGATGTTTCATTTTTATAAGCAATAAATTTAATTGATTTTATGATAGATTTTCTACAATCTATATGATACAGTTTTTAAACAAATAATTGATCTGATGTTTAAAGAATTGCTTCTTACTAGATACGGAACTTGGTATAGAACTACAATCTCCACTCTCTACCTGAATGTTAACGGCCATTACCTTTGTCATCAACTGTTTCTCTTTTTCTACACACCATGACAGAAAGCACGAGAATAATCAACAGCAAAACCAGGACGATGGGGCAGACGATGGCAGCAATAGTCATCGATCCAAGCTTGCTCCCTTCTGTAAGGTTTTGTGATTGAGATTATTCTAAGTGTCTAAGTACATTTATTATGGCACTCTAAACTCTAGTTTTATTACCTGGTTTGATCAGCTTGAAGTACATGCTGGAGAACCTTCCCACGTCATACTCAATGGTCAAGTTGACCTCCCCGAGCTGGTGATCTGGTCCAGAAAACATGGTCAGGTTTACAATCGTCTGCCTCATGTCTCGTGATACGACGGTCACGTGGTGATCTAGTCGTCTGCTCTCTACAAAGGAGTTGTCGGCTGAAACTTCAGGTTGAAAGACAGTTTATTGCAAACTTAATCAATTAATCTTGTTGCTATATAGGTTTTTATGCTTTCGCAGTTAATTTAGTATTAACCAATTCTAACGACTAAAATTGTGCGCCAATTCTATGTACTGAAATAATGAAATGTGATACCACTTTTTGAAAGTTAATTATACATTTCATTATGGTTAATTTCATATAATGTTGTATGCCCCGACCTACTTTTAAAATTAGAAATAAGTGGGTTGTGTAGAAGGTGGTGAAGAATGTTTATATAGCATGAATCACCACGCGATTCAAATGACAAGGAATCATGCGAGATGACAGATGTGAGATGACAGATGTGAGATGACAGATGTGAGATGACAGATGTGAGATGACAGATGTGAGATGACAGATGTGAGATGAGAGATGTGAAATGACAGATGTGAGATGACAGATGTGAGATGAGAGATGTGAGATGACAGATGTGAGATAATAGATGTGAGATGACAGATGTGAGATGAGAGATGTGAGATGACAGATGTGAAATGACAGATGTGAGATGACAGATGTGAGATGACAGATGTGAGATGAGAGATGTGAGATGACAGATGTGAGATGACAGATGTGAGATGACAGATGTGAGATGACAGATGTGAGATGACAGATGTGAGATGACAGATGTGAGATGACAGGTGACAGATGTGAGATGACAGATGTGAGAAGACAGATGACAGATGTGAGATGACAGATGTGAGATGACAGATGTGAGATGACAGATGTGAGATGACAGATGTGAGATGACAGATGTAAGATGACAGATGTGAGATGACAGATGTGAGATGACAGATGGGAGATGACAGATGTGAGATGACAGATGTGAGATGACAGATGTGAGATGACAGATGTGAGATGACAGATGTGAGATGACAGATGTGAGATGACAGATGTGAGATGACAGATGTGAGATGACAGATGTGAGATGACAGATGTGAGATGACAGATGTGAGATGACAGATGTGAGATGACAGATGTGAGATGACAGATGTGAGATGGCAGATGTGAGATGACAGATGTGAGATGACAGATGTGAGAAGACAGATGACAGATGTGAGATGACAGATGTGAGATGACAGATGTGAGAAGACAGATGACAGATGTGAGATGACAGATGTGAGATGAGAGATGTGAGATGACAGATGTGAGATGACAGATGTGAGATGACAGATGTGAGATGACAGATGTGAGATGACAGATGTGAGATGACAGATGTGAGAAGACAGATGACAGATGTGAGATGACAGATGTGAGATGACAGATGTGAGATGACAGATGTGAGATGACAGATGTGAGATGACAGATGTGAGATGACAGATGTGAGATGACAGATGTGAGATGACAGATGTGAGAAGACAGATGACAGATGTGAGATGACAGATGTGAGATGACAGATGTGAGATGACAGATGTGAGATGACAGATGTGAGATGACAGATGTGAGATGAGAGATGTGAGATGACAGATGTGAGATGACAGATGTGAGATGACAGATGTGAGATGACAGATGTGAGATGACAGATGTGAGATGACAGATGTGAGATGACAGATGTGAGATGAGAGATGTGAGATGACAGATGTGAGATGAGAGATGACAGATGTGAGATGACAGATGTGAGATGACAGATGTGAGATGACAGATGTGAGATGACAGATGTGAGATGACAGATGTGAGATGACAGATGTGAGATGACAGATGTGAGATGACAGATGTGAGATGACAGATGTGAGATGACAGATGTGAGATGACAGATGTGAGATGACAGATGTGAGAAGACAGATGACAGATGTGAGATGACAGATGTGAGATGACAGATGTGAGAAGACAGATGACAGATGTGAGATGACAGATGTGAGATGACAGATGTGAGATGACAGATGTGAGATGACAGATGTGAGATGACAGATGTGAGATGACAGATGTGAGATGACAGATGTGAGATGACAGATGTGAGATGACAGATGTGAGATGACAGATGTGAGAAGACAGGTGACAGATGTGAGATGACAGATGTGAGAAGACAGATGACAGATGTGAGATGACAGATGTGAGATGACAGATGTGAGATGACAGATGTGAGATGACAGATGTGAGATGACAGATGTGAGATGACAGATGTGAGATGACAGATGTGAGATGACAGATGGGAGATGACAGATGTGAGATGACAGATGTGAGATGACAGATGTGAGATGACAGATGTGAGATGACAGATGTGAGATGACAGATGTGAGATGACAGATGTGAGATGACAGATGTGAGATGACAGATGTGAGATGACAGATGTGAGATGACAGATGTGAGATGACAGATGTGAGATGACAGATGTGAGATGGCAGATGTGAGATGACAGATGTGAGATGACAGATGTGAGAAGACAGATGACAGATGTGAGATGACAGATGTGAGATGACAGATGTGAGAAGACAGATGACAGATGTGAGATGACAGGTGTGAGATGACAGATGTGATATGACAGATGTGAGATGACAGATGTGAGATGACAGATGGGAGATGACAGATGTGAGATGACAGATGTGAGATGACAGATGTGAGATGACAGATGTGAGATGACAGATGTGAGATGACAGATGTGAGATGACAGATGTGAGATGACAGATGTGAGATGACAGATGTGAGATGACAGATGTGAGATGAGAGATGTGAGATGACAGATGTGAGATGACAGATGTGAGATGGCAGATGTGAGATGACAGATGTGAGATGACAGATCTGAGATGACAGATGTGAGATGACAGATGTGAGATGAGAGATGTGAGATGACAGATGTGAGATGACAGGTGTGAGATGACAGATGTAAGATGAGAGATGTGAGATGACAGATGTGAGATGACAGATGTGAGATGACAGATGTGAGATGACAGTTGCAATTCATCATTTCAGTTAAAAAAGTCAAATAAAAAGCAATAAAAGACCTCGGCGTAGCTCCGACCCCAGGGGATGTCTGGGCCAGTACAGGACACACAGGCTGGTGGAGAAGTTTTGATTGACAGGAACCTGGTAGACTGGTCTAGACGTCTGACCACTGCAGAGCTCTGGAGGACCTAGAATGGACAGTACTTGCTCAAGCTCCTGCTAGGTGGTATCCGATTTTAGATATATTTTTGTATCGGTACCCTAACCTTTATTGCGGAGTTAGCACTAAATTTACCTCTAATCTCAAACATGACTATCCCAGATTTTGCCTAATACTAAGTGAAACAACATGCGTTCATGTATTTCACTAAAGACATGTTGAGGAAAAAAATTAGAACAATTTAAAATATATCACAACGAGTTGTTTAACAATGGCTTCCATCATTATTGTTGACATGAATTTAAAAAAAATATTATCTTCAAAGCGGTGGTAAATAAAATCTAAGCCTAAAAAATTGTATAATTTAATATTTTAAAATATATGATCTAAAAGTTGCAAAAGCAGAGAACTTAAATGTTTGCTTTTAGGCTAAATTGTTTTTTATCAAGCTTAAATTATAACCTGAATTTTCACTTTCGTAAGACACACATTGATTGGCTGTATAGAAATTAAAAGACCGATTTTCTAAAAATGAATTGCCGATAAATCTTTTAAACAAAATAATACTTCTTTTAAACTACATGTCCAATAATACCTTGTTTACTTATATTTACTAATAATTTCAATAGTTTGTACAACTTGGTGTTTTAAATGTTTTTATGCATTTACATGTAAAACTTCAAGCTTGTGAAGTGTAACGATTAGAGCAAGTCAATGTGAGGGGGGGGGGGGGTCGGGGGTGGGGGGGGGTAAGCAACGGAAATAATCAAATTTAAACTCATCTTGAAGAACTACATTTTATTTTAGCATAATCCAAGCTAGGACTCTTCTTCTCTCCTTCTTCTTCGTTCTTAATTATTAGTGTTGAAGGGGATCGAGATTTATCTGCCAGTGGGTTTGAACTCGAGACTTTGTTCGAATTTATCAACCATGAGCTTTTTGCCGACTCGACCACGCCTCCAACACAATTAAGCGTTACGTGTCAACTGGTTATGCGCCATTGAGGCCATTGACTCCGATTTCAGCCTGCTTTTCTTTTTGGATTTGCTTCCATAGCCTTTGTCCGACCAAGAACAAACTACAAGGCAGCAGTTGTTTAATTTTGGAGTTGTCTATCCTAGAAGAGTGGCTGTCCCCAGCTAACGAGCCTCATCTGCCCGAGGGTTCGAACTCGAGACTTTTCGGTTTAGCAACCATGAGCTTTACCGACTCGACCACGCCGAACCCCCAGCTAGGACAATAAGAACAAATTCAGAGTACGACGGTCAGAAATCTGTTCGCTTGCTAGTCATAAATATTTTTAGATAGTAAAAAAAACGATGTGGAATGAACTCATCACAAAGTTCTAGTGACTTTCTATACCGACCCACAACTCATCACAAAGTTCTAGTGACTTTCTATACCGACCCACAACTCATCACAAAGTTCTAGTGACTTTCTATACCGACCCACAACTCATCACAAAGTTCTAGTGACTTTCTATACCGACCCACAACTCATCACAAAGTTCTAGTGACTTTCTATACCGACACAACTCATCACAAAGTTCTAGTGACTTTCTATACCGACACAACTCATCACAAAGTTCTAGTGACTTTCTATACCGACTCATCATAACTCACATTTGATCCAAAGGTCCGTGTGCTTGCTATCTTTAGAGAAATTGTTTTCAGCCTCACAGACGTACCTGCCGATCCTGTTACATTGTGCAGGTATCTGGTATTCCAACTGTCTGGTTGTACTCTGGGATTAAGTTAAAATTAAGTTTAGTCTCATTTGTTCTAAGAATGATTTGGTGCTACAGAATGTACATCTTTAAAGCATATAGAACAGCAAACTACCTGATATACTAAAGTTTTCTCTTTTTCTGTAACAAAATAAAGTCTTGCAGTTGGTGCGGGATTTCCCGATGTTTTACACACGATGACAACTATCACATCCTCTGGTACTTCATTGACGTCATTTGTTTTTACGTTGTTCAGAATGTTTAGTGACGCGACTTTTGTTGAATCTAAAGACATACAGACCTAAATCTTGATTGACGTTAGTTTATACTTACATAAATGTGTATACTGTACGAAAATTACCAGTAATCACAATCATGTGTTATTTTAATTGTTTTATTTATATTTACAAGATATTAACATTCGTCTAAAAAAGATTTTAAAATTATTTATTTGTCATTGATGCTCAAGTAAAAATAATGAATTACGTTTTATTACACCATATATAAACCAATAAAGATTTTGATATTTTAAAATAATTCTACTCCAACGTACAAGTGATATGAAATGTAAAGTTACTCTGTACAGTTGTCTGTGTGTCCAGCAACGTTGCGGCACACGTACAATGTTGTCCATCCATCTTCCTATCAGCTCTAAACTCAACTCGTATAGCCGCACCACGTCCAATTTGTGTAGAGTTGATGATGCTATGAGGACAATCAAGAGTTATCTTCCCTTTGTTGAGTGCTGTCCAGTTAGACGAGGTGCACACAATGTTTATAGGATCGCCTTCACTGGCCACAACGTTTGTGTTGTTGGACCCGTTCGTTTCTAGAACTATCGGCTCGCTGGACATGGCCACTGTCACAAAGAAAATAACAACACATAGCATTTTAAATGTTCACTGATACTTTAATGATACAGACACAATGGTTAATTGAACACATATATCATATTTGGCACTGATAAATAATTTCTTCCCCTTAACATGGCGTCATTTCTCATGTAGCTTAGGGCCCCATATCTCATGTGGAATTAAAAAAAAGGGAATAAACACAGGGAATAAAGACGAAATTATAGATGGAATAGTGAAACATTGCTCACATAAATAGATATATTTAGATCGGTTAGCAAACTAGCGACATAAAATAGTGCAGGTTAAATACCCATTGGTCAAGCAAATGAAATTAGTTAGGAGTAAGTAGCTATAGGTAGGAACCAATGAGAAGTGAGAGGTCAAGGTCAAGAGGTCAAGGTCAGATGGTAAGTCCAGCGTGTATCAGACATTCGAGTTTGGAGGTTGAAATTGAGTAGGAGTTCAGCTGAAGTTAATAAGTTAAATAGAGTTAAAGTATTGAGTGTCCTATATGACAGACAGACAGACAGACAGACAGACAGACAGACAGACAGACAGACGGACAGACGGACAGACGGACAGACGGACGGACGGACGGACGGACGGACGGACGGACGGACGGACGGACGGACGGACGGACGGACGGACGGACGGACGGACGGACGGACGGACGGACGGACGGACGGACGGACGGGAGGACGGGAGGAAACAAATTGGGGTCAATAAAATTCATTTAAATATTCAGAGCGGCATATTTCGAGAGTTTTGTATTAAAATAAAAATATTCTGGAGGAATGTCTTCACGTAAAGTGTTGGCTCCATTTTGATCATTTTTAAAACTAAATTACCCAGTTTTAAGACAACTTACGCTTTAAAAAATTATATTTTTTATCTGCCGATGTTATCGTTGTGATTGTTATTTTTACCATGATACGTTTGTATTAAGCACATTAAAAACAATTTCTTCTCTTAAATGTTTATTTAAGTAAAGCACACAAAATTGATAACGGAGCCATAAATTGAATTAATTCTTTCATAATTAATAATACAGTTAAATAAAGCGGGAGTGATCTCAACCTATACTCAACCTATACTTTCTAGAATATTCTTATATTACACTTCGGGGAATAAAAACTCGAGATATAGACATGCTTTTTAATCTATTTTTAATTACTTGAACTTTTTAGAAATAGAATAGAACCTCGTAAAAAAGGTAATTGCGCACCAAGTGAACAGCAATGTGTGTATAATAGTGTGGAATATTAGTACTTTATAAATTCAAATGCATTTTTATAGAAATCGGAAACAGCGTGCTTCTCACTACGATAACTGAATGGGGCCAGCTTGCGTGTTGAAAAACCTCTGATTTATTAGTGTAACAGCTGGAAAAAAAATAAAGTAAATTATATATATATATATATATATATATATATATATATATATATATATATATATATATATATATATTTATATATATATATATATATATATATATATATATATATATATATATATATATATATATATATATATATATAAATATGTGGGGGGGGGGGGTTAGTTTCGCCACTGGTATTGACTACTGTAAATTTGTAGCAATCCTAACAACCCGATGATGCAAACTGTAACACTAAATCAAACATGGCAAGACAAACTGACGTTGTTTAACCAAGACAAAAACAACACATTTTATTTCCGTCCTAACTCAATGAGTTTGAACCTTTTTTAGGTACAGATCATTGTTCTGCAGCTGTATCTCAGCAGCTACAACCTTTAAACTTGCTTTAATAAAAGTTTGACTCACCCGGGCACATCAGCTGGGTTGAGAACATCCAGCACACGATGGACCAGATACGTTTGTCGTCTGCCATACTTGTGCGTCAGTCGTCTGTTGTGTCACGTGTTTCCATCTGTAGCTGATGAAGACAAAGGGATAGAACTACAGCCGCCGAGCTGAGGGAAGTAAATTAGAAATCAAACAAAATAAAAATCTAAAAATGTGAAATATTTCTAAAATATGACTTTTTAAATTTAGAACAATGACATATTACAATGTGACTTTTGTTTTTCGTATAAAATAGTAGAATAAGTCTACATCCTATCATAGTATAACATTAACATTTTCTGTCACAAATAGTACAGTGGCGTAACTAGAAAAAAGCCCCACCCCGCCCCCCCCCCCCCCCCAGAATTTATTATATATATATATATATATATATATATATATATATATATATATATATATATATATATATATATATATATATATATATATATATTTGGAAAAGAAAGTCGCTCTAAAATGTTTTATTTACTCGAGGTTTTTTTACATCTGGTACACGATGTTCAATTTATTCTAAAAGCTTTAATTAATTTCTAATTAATTATATCAAAAATAATCTTTCCTTCCCTGTTTTGTGAATTAGATGCGCCTAATACTATGCAAGTAAATTAATATCTGCTGACTAGTGCTGTCTAGTGTCTGACAAAATGTGCTGAAGTTGTAAATGTACGGTTTAGAAGTAGTTCATAAACGATATATTTATCTATTAGATACTTGCAAGTCTAAGAAAGAGGGGTGGGTTGGGGTCGACTCGGGAAAAAAACTTAAAAGAGACATCAAAGCGCCTATGTACGTCAGCTTCGCCCATTATAAAACTTACTCAGGAGAGATAATTCCAAGTATAGGCCTTAAAAGTTTACATTTCTTGTAAAATAAAAAACAAGTAAACGTATACAAAACCGAAGTTTCTAGTATCATATTATACAGGATATATATACAGGATAGCACAGGATAGAAGTTCTACCAATATCACAAGCACACATTAACATTGAAATTGTACAATGGATTTCGGGCCCCTAATCAATGCTGCAAAAAAGAACCGCACATCACGAACGCCCACTACATTATATTTAGCGGCTTCTCGAGCTATGGACTTCAGTTTTTTAAAGTAGAATTTCGCCGGCCACATAATGTGTTTGATTGTAGGGGAATAGAACTCGGCCTTGCCGATGGTTAAACAATACAATAATAAAAAACATTTTTAAATATGTAAATTATTTGACGACTTGGTCCCCCTACCCTGCCCCATCCGCCACAGTACACTTTGGAGGATCGGTCGAACAGTTACATGTATTACGAGCGGTACTCTAACAGTCGCAGAGCTAGCGAACGTACCGGGTTCTTTTGGAAGGGTTAATAACAGATGACAACAATTAAAGAGTATCAGACACAAAAACTCAACGTGGACTCGTAAATAAGTTCTAGGGGAAAGACACGATAAACTCTGTGACTAATAACAACTTTAATCCATTAATAACTTTTTTTAAATGTGTACAAGTATACAATGTGACTCTAGTTTTATACAAAGGAGTATAAATATACAAAATAAACCAAAACCCAACTTACGATTTGATGAAAACTCACTAGGTTTCAAATATCACAGATATGGCACTAGGAATTCTACACAGCTTATAGAAAATTAACTTAAAGCACAGAATGATACTAAAATCACAACTGATAGGGGGAAAATGCTGCTTTAAACAATAGAATACAATAAGGCATCACGCACGGTACTCTCTCCCGGGATGTCTGGTAAAAAAACTTCCTCGAGAGACCGTGGTTCGGGTATATATCTGACCTCAGAATCAGGGGAGGTCACTCTCAAAGTCATAAGACCATTGGTTGGGAAATCGCCGAAGTTCGAAATAACCAATTAAAATTATTGGAAAATTTCATCAAATAACGTGATGGAAAAGTACTGGCAATTGTTTTTTTACAATCCAAATATCAAGACAAAAATGCACGAAAATTAAATTCAATTTTTTTAAAAATATAAATTATAGTCGGCTGTGGGCCCCCTAAACGGTATGTACCCCCCCCCCCCCCGCGGGGTCTGGCGTCACTGTAGTTCTGCCCCTGATGTCTACATCCAATCGTTATGGTACAACAATATGTGCTGTCACAAATATTAGAGTATGTCTACATCCAATCGTTATGGTACAACAATATGTGCTGTCACAAATATTAGAGTATGTCTACATCCAATCGTTATGGTACAACAATATGTGCTGTCACAAATATTAGAGTATGTCTACATCCAATCGTTATGGTACAACAATATGTGCTGTCACAAATATTAGAGTATGTCTACATCCAATCGTTATGGTACAACAATATGTGCTGTCACAAATATTAGAGTATGTCTACATCCAATCGTTATGGTACAACAATATGTGCTGTCACAAATATTAGAGTATGTCTACATCCAATCGTTATGGTACAACAATATGTGCTGTCACAAATATTAGAGTATGTCTACATCCAATCGTTATGGTACAACAATATGTGCTGTCACAAATATTAGAGTATGTCTACATCCAATCGTTATGGTACAACAATATGTGCTGTCACAAATATTAGAGTATGTCTACATCCAATCGTTATGGTACAACAATATGTGCTGTCACAAATATTAGAGTATGTCTACATCCAATCGTTATGGTACAACAATATGTGCTGTCACAAATATTAGAGTATGTCTACATCCAATCGTTATGGTACAACAATATGTGCTGTCACAAATATGAGAATATGTTTACATCCAATCGTTATGGTACAACAATATGTGCTGTCACAAATATTAGAGTATGTCTACATCCAATCGTTATGGTACAACAATATGTGCTGTCACAAATATTAGAGTATGTCTACATCCAATCGTTATGGTACAACAATATGTGCTGTCACAAATATTAGAGTATGTCTACATCCAATCGTTATGGTACAACAATATGTGCTGTCACAAATATTAGAGTATGTCTACATCCAATCGTTATGGTACAACAATATGTGCTGTCACAAATATTAGAGTATGTCTACATCCAATCGTTATGGTACAACAATATGTGCTGTCACAAATATTAGAGTATGTCTACATCCAATCGTTATGGTACAACAATATGTGCTGTCACAAATATTAGAGTATGTCTACATCCAATCGTTATGGTACAACAATATGTGCTGTCACAAATATTAGAGTATGTCTACATCCAATCGTTATGGTACAACAATATGTGCTGTCACAAATATTAGAGTATGTCTACATCCAATCGTAACGCTAAAAAAACATTTTTCACCGAGTCATGCTCGTCACACGATGATTAGAAGAAACAGTAGAAAAATATTCAATCGCTTCCTCCTTTCTATAGAATTCTTTTGATTTACCTTATAAAAATACTGATAAAATCAAAGAAATTAACAGACACGAATCCTCGTATACAGATGAGGTCACAGAATACAAGTGCTGTCAGCAGCTGACAACCATAATTTATGTCTTTGATTTGTCATAAAGTTGCTTCATGCCGGAAATGTTAAACACATTTTTTAAAACTGTAACGTTCAGTGATCTAGACACAAAACTCTCGTTTTAACTCCTACTGAATGCTAAAGTTGTCTATACAAAATCTAGACACTACAAACTCCAAGTATGAAATGAATTATCATCGTTCATTGAGGCGTTGGGGAGAGAGAGATATGGTGGGGGTGGTGTGCTGACAGTTGTATTGACGTCACCGTGTTTTTCATGTGACAGCAGCATCTTAGTCCCCGGATGATGAGGACATTGCTAATTGACAGGACAAACTCTCACATTTTTTCTCGAGCTCAGATTGTATAGCAATGCGTGAAAACACGACGCAAATATTGCTTGACGCGTTACAATGTGAAGTCATACACATAGAGGCCTACCCGGGATGATATTACAAAAGTATTTTCCCGAGTCAAATAACTCCAATCTGACATGGCGACCCAAAAGATATACCTTCCTGTATTTCAGTCTAATTTTAACTTCATTCCTTTGTTTCGTTTCGCCACTTATATCTGTCAAGTGTTTTTTTTTCACAGCTTGAAAGATCAAAGTTCAAGAGTATAAGCTCAAAGTTGCATTACGTGGTAATTCAAGATTAATATTTAATTAGAGTTTCATTTTTATTAAGTATTCAGAATGTAATATTTTGCTATAAACTATTTTTGTAGCCTAGTTTTATTTGTGAGAGTGTATCTAATTCCCCCCCCCCCCCCCCAAACCATCACAGTGACCAACCGATAAACTAAAACAGCCGTCACTTTCTCATTACATCAATCAGGTCTAATTAGACGTCAATCATGTTTATGTCACGTGATCTTATTGGGGGTCATTCATAAAGGACGTCACGCTTTTTGGATGATTTTTACCTCCCCCCTCCCCTCCATCACACATCGTCACAAAAAGTCAGAGCCCCCCCCCAATGACGTCACGCCTCAGCCTACAACCCCTTCCCCTTAAAATTGTAGTTGAATGTTTCTTAAAACATTGATATGTTTCCAAAATCTTGTCTGAACTCTGTCAACATAGAGTATTTTAATCAATTCTCATTACAATTTATTAAAACAGTTTTCTAAAACGAAATAACAGCTAAAATTCGTTTTCTAACCTTGCTTTTTTATAATGCAAAAGTGTGAAATTACACCATCTGAACCCTCCCCCCACTCCCCCTCATCACACACCGTCACAAAATTACGGACCCCCCTCCTCCCAATGAGTGTGACGTCATTTATGGACGACCCCTTGACAACAAGAGCGACTAATACCCTTAGCTTCACTGCATCAAAATCTGATTGTCCAGTTTGATTTACGTGTAGGGAGTCGTTAACTGGTAGAACAACGTCGTTTTCTTTATGATTTCATGGCATTTTCGTTCAAATATTTTGATAGGAAATAACGATTTACCCAATGGGAAACATGGATAAATCTGTGTGCAACACACTTAAAATACTCGCCATTGGGATCAGTTTTTAGACTAAAGATCAGCTTAGTCAAGCTAATGAGCCAATAGTCTTGTGGGCGTGTTGATTTTATTTCTCTCCACACATTGTGTGGTGTAAACTTTAGAAAATATCTTCTGCTGTCAGAAAATGTACGGAATATCGGGGGGTAATGAATACCAGGGGTATTTTCTTACGATGTTTCTTTTACTATTTCAAGCCATTGGTAGGTATCAATTTCCGCATTGATGTGTACAATTATAATGTATTTATTCTAGATCTATTAAAGTTTCAGTTCTGCATTAAGCGTGACTGAATTTAAAAGCAATTACTGTTATGATTTTCTATCAACATTCGTGTTAACTAAATCAATCATCTCATTTAACATACAACGGCATGTTTTTATACATCAGTATTTGAAACACTGCCATATACAACGTGTTCAAATGTTTGGTCTAAAGTATTGCATAACACGAAAATATGTTTTATATACACATACACACATATATAGCCTATATATATATATGTATATATATATATATATATATATATATATATATATATATATATATATATATATATATATATATATATATATACACAAGATTTATTTATTTGTCAGTATTTTTATACAAAGAAAGAAGTACCTTAATGTTTTGTTCGCTTGGATCGGATCTTATCTGTTAAAATATCTGTTGGTTTTTCGGCGATTGTGTTGTGTTTCGTTAGTTTGTACTATGACTACATATTTGTCAGCTTATTGAGTGCGGCAGTGTTTCTGGTAATTAATTGCAGCTATTAATAACACCGTAACACAGTAACACACCAACAACACACTCAGTGTGCTACATTAGCTGTGTACCCGTCTATCTGTGACTACTCGTGACATCACTTAACGAAAGACACACTCAACTGCACATTTACGAAGACATAAACTTGGTAGTAGATATGATGTCATATGCAATAAGTAATGATAAGAACGGCTACTGTTAATATTCGCACAACTAAAAACTAAAAAACAATTATAACCATAATAGCCGTTTCTACGTAAGGTCTTCGTAAAATAAAATATATATATAAAAAAAAACACACTTAGAAATGATTCTAGACTGCAGTGAAAACAAGTTGATTAGTGAAATGTTTAATGAAACAAAATAATATCTGGCATCCAGTTTAGCATTAAGAAACAGTTTGCCAAAGAGAAACAGTTTACCATAGAGAAACAGTTTGCCATAGAGAAACAGTTTGCCATAGAGAAACATGTAACCGTTGTGTATTTGACTTTGAACGTTGTGTAAAGTATCAGTGAACATTTATAATGCTATGTGTTGTTATTTTCTTTGTCACAGTGGCCATGTCCAGCGAGCCGATAGTTCTAGAAACGAATGGGTCCAACAACACAAACGTTGTGGCCAGTGAAGGCGATCCTATAAACATTGTGTGCACCTCGTCTAACTGGACAGCACTCAACAAAGGGAAGATAACTCTTGATTGTCCTCATAGCATCATCAACTCTACACAAATTGGACGTGGTACGGCTATACGAGTTGAGTTTAGAGCTGATAGGAAGATGGATGAACAACATTGTACGTGTGCCGCAACGTTACTGGACACACATACAACTGTACAGAGTAACTTTACATTTCACATCACTTGTACGTTGGAGTAGAATTATACAGTAACATTACATTTCACATCACTTGTACGTTGGAGTAGAATTATTTAAAAATATCAAAATCTTTATTGGTTTATATATTGTGTAATAAAAAGGAATTCATTATTTTTACTTGAGCATCAATGACAAATAAATAATTTTAAAATCTTTTAAGACGAATGTTTATATCTTGTAAATAAAACCATTTAAATAACGCATGATTGTGATTACTGATAATTTTCGTATAGTATTCAAATTTATGTAAGTATAAACTAACGTCAATCAAGATGTATGTCTGTATGTCTTTAGATTTTACAAAAGTCGCGTCACTAAACATTCTGAACAACGTAAAAACAAATGACGTCAATGAAGTACCAGAGGATGTGATAGTTGTCATCGTGTGTAAAACATCGGGAAATCCCGCACCAACTGCAAGACTTTATTTTGTTACAGAAAAAGAGAAAACTTTAGTATATCAGGTAGTTTGCTGTTCTATGTGCTTTAAAGATGTACATTCTGTAGCACCAAATCATTCTTAGAACAAATGAGACTAACCTTAATTTTAACTTAATCCCAGAGTACAACCAGACAGTTGGAATACCAGACCCCTGCACAATGTTACAGGGCCGGCAGGTACGTCTGTGAGGCTGAAAACAATTTCTCTAAAGATAGCAAGCACACGGACCTGTGGATCAAATGTGAGTTCTGATGAGTCGGTATAGAAAGTCACTAGAACTTTGTGATGAGTTGTGTTGGTATAGAAAGTCACTAGAACTTTGTGAGGAGTTCTGTGTTGTGATGATAATACAATGACATTTTTATCCTTACATTTGCGGATCTGAGATAAGAATAAAAGAACTTGACATTTTTTTAAAACCGTGTGTGTCTGTTTTGTTATTTTCAACTCGGCATCTAGTTTTGGAGTCAATCAAACCTCCCCCATATCCATCAACCTACCCTCTCCCATTAACCTTACCCCTCTCCACCCATCAACCAATCAGTGTTTCTTCCAGACGTTTTTCTCCTGTGGGTGGGAGAGGGGACTTGAAATTTACGGGGGGGGGGGACTAAAATATATTAAACGTATATATTTTCTATATAAACTCCATTTCGTTGGGGTGGCTGTAGACTATCTTCCAGAGATGCCTGGAAGAAACATTGCAACCTACCCTCTCCCCACCCAGCAACCTACCCTCTCCCTACCACACTCGACGTACCATGTAGATAACATCACTGAACTTCCAGAACTTTGATATTCGAAAAGTTTTTGGTTTGAAATATTTTAGTACGGTTATTTACATAAATTAGAGCTTATAATTAATCATGAAAGGTCATTAGGAAATTAGAAAATCATAAATCTCATCCACCAAATTTCAAACATCTATATATATAATTCTCTTTTTGGAGACGATAGAAAACACCAAACTGTAAGCGCGCTCCCTACCACCCCACCCCTACATGGTCTGGTGAGCAGTGGTTCACGCTAAATGTTTACAATCGTAGAGCTGGGTTTAGTGACGGCTATTAGGGGAAGATAATTTAGTTTGAAACGATTTTAAACTTAGGGGAGGTAACTAAGAGGAGTTTACTTTCACGGGGGGGGGGGGGGGGTAGGGGTTGGGGAATGGAGGGGGGATTATCGTCCTTAACAAGCTACTGATAGTGTTTTAAAGCGAATATTTTCAGTGGCAGCGTTGGTACTGTCGAATTCACAAATTATGAATTACTGAAAAGTAGAAAATAAAACAACTAAATAGCGACATATGATACGCCGCGGGTCGGCTCGTTTTAATTAAAAAGGAATCGTGTGTAAACTGTAATTTACATTTAAAATAGTTAGAATAAAATTTTCCTGTTGGCCACCACTTTAGGTCCTCCAGAGCTCTGCAGTGGTCAGACGTCTAGACCAGTCTACCAGGTTCCTGTCAATCAAAACTTCTCCACCAGCCTGTGTGTCCTATACTGGCCCAGACATCCCCTGGGGTCGGAGCTACGCCAAGGTTTGTTGGTGTCTCTTAAATATTGCTCAGTATTTAACATGTGATGTTGGAAGCAAAACATTTCTTTCAACCCGAAGTTTCAGCCGACAACTCCAGTGTGGAGAGCAGACGACTAGATCACCACGTGACCGTCGTATCCCGAGACATGAGGCAGACGATTGTAAACCTGACCATATTTTCTGGACCAGATCACCAGCTCGGGGAGGTCAACTTGACCATTGAGTACACGTGGGAAGGTTCTCCAGCATGTACTTCAAGCTGATCAAACCAGGTAATAAAACTAGAGTTTAGATTGCCATAATAAATGTACTTAGACACTTAGAATAATTTCAAATACAAAACCTTACAGAAGGGAGCAAGCTTGGATCGATGACTATTGCTGCCATCGTCTGCCCCATCGTCCTGGTTTTGTTGTTGATTATTCTCGTGCTTTCTGTCATGGTGTGGAGAAAAAGAGAAACATCTGATGACAAAGGTAATGGCCCATTATGAATCAGACAAAACTAACGTTACAAGCTCTGTTACTGTCACTCTTATCATTATGTTTCTCACCTTAAGAACTTGAGTTTATGCCCTAACATAAATTTAACGAGCTACATGTTTAAATAAAATATTTGTCCACCCGCGTCTAGCCGGCATTGTGAAACCTGAAGTCCTGCTCCAGCAATGTCACGTGATCCAGAGGTTTGCTGTGGATGGTGATGGCTATCTGATGTCACGTGATTGTGTACCAGACACACAGAGCCTGGGCCAGCCACCCACTGACCAGCTGGACCAGTCACCCACTGACCAGCTGGACCAGTCACCCACTGACCAGCTGGACCAGTCACCCACTGACCAGCTGGACACAGGTGACCACAGCAAGCTAGAGACGAGACTGGATGAGAACGTCTACAGCACAATAGATGATACACACGACGATTACGTTAATGCTGGAGTTTCCTCTCCTCAACATAGCGCTGCAGATCGTACAATAGAATCATCAGATGCTGTATCACGGTGTCTGATGTTGGATGACAGACGTGACGCACAAGCTTGCTGTACCACAAATCACTACACAAATCTGTGTCATACCACAAATATTGATGATAGACCATACGCCAGTAGTGACAATGCTTACTTTGTTCCAATATAATCGTGACCATGGATTGAAATATGGTTTGGTTGTTTGGAGATGAACAAAATTGTTGATGTCAATGTCAAGTTCACTTTTTTATAATCTTTTATTTAGTTCATACACCATTGGGTGCCACAGAAAATAGTCAACATTATTATATCTTCATATGAAGGTCTCAAATGTAGAGTAGTGCATGGCCAACAGACTTCGGAGGCCTTCCCAGTACGGACTGGAGTAAGGCAGGGTTGCCTACTTTCACCATTCCTGTTCCTGCTGGCCCTAGACTGGATTATAAAGATGTCAACAGAGAAAACGTGAAACGGTATATAGTGGACACTGTGGAGCCAGCTGGATGACCTGAACTTTGCTGACGACCTGGCCCTTCTTTCTCACACACAATAGCAAATGCAGGACAAAAGCAACATTGTTGCTAATTTTTTTACATGACTGGGCCTGAACATCCACAGATTGAAAATTAAAGTTCTCAATGTCAATGCATCATGCAGCACCCCTGTAACATTGGCAGAAGAAGCCCTAGAAGAAGTGGATAGATTCACCTACCTTGGGAGTATTGTTGATAAGCAGGGTGGGACAGAAGCAGACATAAAAATAAGGACAGGCAAGGCAAGAGCAATCTTCAACCAACTAAAAAATTTTTGGGGTTCTGGAGATTTAACCCTTGGAATAAAAATCCGGATCTTCAACACACTAGTAAAACCTGTTTTACTCTATGGAGCTGAGACATAGAGAATAACTACCACAAATAAGAAGAAAATACAATCATTTATAAACTCATGCCTCAGAATGATCCTGCGAATTCATTGGCCTAAAACCATCAGAAATGAGGTATTATGGCAACAGACAAATTAACTGCCAGCTAAATATTGATTGGTTAAATATTGGTTTCTTGAGTTAGATTCGGTCTCGAACAAGATGTATTAGAGATCTCAATTAACTGATTGGGTTTTTAAATCCTATGTTTTTACTTGTACGTTGTGTTGAATCCAGTAATAACAAATAACTACAACAACAGAAATAAAACAATAATAAAAATAATTTCACTTAATTAGTTATTATTATTCAATAATTATTCAATATATTATTGTGATGGAAGCATGGTCGAATCGGTAAAGCTCATGGTTGATAAATTCGAAAAAAAAGTCTCGAGTTCAAACCCACTGGCAGATAAGGCTCGATCCCTCCCAACACTAAAAATTAAAAACGAAGAAGAAGAAGAAGATTCAATTAGCCTAGTTTAAGTAGCATAGTGGCGTAAACTTACAACCAGCCAAGATCTGACTATGATTTCCTTTTTTTTTTGTGGCGGAAAAAAGTACATTGAACTAAACGGCCAAAAGTACACTGATCTAGACGGGCCAAAAGTACACTGATCTAGGTGGGCCAAAAGTACACTGATCTAGACGGGCCAAAAGTACACTGATCTAGACGGGCCAAAATTACACTGATCTAGACGGGCCAAAATTACACTGATCTAGACGGGCCAAAATTACACTGATCTAGACGGGCCAAAAGTACACTGATCTAGACGGGCCAAAAGTACACTGATCTAGACGGGCCAAAAGTACACTGATCTAGACGGGCCAAAAGTACACTGATCTAGACGGGCCAAAAGTACACTGATCTAGACGGGCCAAAATTACACTGATCTAGACGGGCCAAAAGTACACTGATCTAGACGGGCCAAAAGTACACTGATCTAGACGGCCAAAAGTACACTGATCTAGACGGCCAAAAGTACACTGATCTAGGTTGACCTCTGTCGTGACGAAGGTCGAAAGGTTAAAGTGTATCAGAAACTCTTCTCCCACTCAAACAGCCAAACTTTGAGTTTTCCCATTATAGTGATCACAAGCAACAACTTACAGTTTCTCTTCAAATAATAATCTGTGTTTAGTAAACTGTTTATATAGGTTAAATTATTGTTTTAATAAATCATGCTTATTGACGGTGATAATGATAATTGTGGATGTTTTTTACTTAATTTATTTTGTTGAGTTATTAGTATTGTGGTTAGACTCTGCCTAAAAAAACAATTGTAAATCAAATAAATTGAGATCAAGAGAGTAATGAAATCAAGTTGTCTCAAGTCACAAGATAATATCCTTAAACAAAAAAAATTTCCAACAATTAAACTGTAAAATGTCTTTTGAATTACAATTTTAATAAGATTTAAATTTCTATGAGCCATGTACTCAGTTTGTTGGATAAATTGAGGGTTTTATTCCAACATTAGACGTGGATAAATTGAGGGTTTTATTCCAACATTAGACGTGGATAAATTGAGGGTTTTATTCCAACATTAGACGTGGATAAATTGAGGGTTTTATTCCAACATTAGACGCGGATAAATTGAGGGTTTTATTCCAACATTAGACGTGGATAAATTGAGGGTTTTATTCCAACATTAGTCGTGGATAAATTGAGGGTTTTATTCCAACATTGGATGTGGATAAATTGATGGTTTTATTCCAACATTAGATATGGATAAATTGATGGTTTTATTCCAACATTAGACGTGAATAAATTGAGGGTTTTATTCCAACATTAGACGTGGATAAATTGAGGGTTTTATTCCAACATTAGACGTGGATAAATTGAGGGTTTTATTCCAACATTAGACGTGGATAAATTGAGGGTTTTATTCCAACATTAGACGTGGATAAATTGAGGGTTTTATTCCAACATTAGACGTGGATAAATTGAGGGTTTTATTCCAACATTAGACGTGGATAAATTGAGGGTTTTATTCCAACATTAGACGTGGATTAATCGAGGGTTTTATTCCAACATTAGACTTGGATAAATTTAGGGTTTTATTCCAACATTAGACGTGGATAAATTGAGGGTTTTATTCCAACATTAGACGTGGATAAATTGAGGGTTTTATTCCAACATTAGACGTGGATAAATTGAGGGTTTTATTCCAACATTAGACGTGGATTAATCGAGGGTTTTATTCCAACATTAGACTTGGATAAATTGAGGGTTTTATTCCAACATTAGACGTGGATAAATTGATGGTTTTATTCCAACATTAGATATGGATAAATTGATGGTTTTATTCCAACATTTGACGTGGATAAATTGTTGGTTTTATTCCAACATTTGACGTGGATAAATTGATGGTTTTATTCCAACATTGGACGTGGATAAATTGAGGGTTTTATTCCAACATTGGATGTGGATAAATTGATGGTTTTATTCCAACATTGGACGTGAATAAATTGTTGGTTTTATTCCAACATTGGACGTGAGCAGGAATCAATCCCTGGATGTACAGGACAGGGGAGGCGTTCTTTCATCTCGACCATATTGGCTTGTGAAGAACAAAGCAATCGATAAAATGGCCCGATATGTCTAGTAGTCCCCACAAATATCCCAGCAGTCAGATCAGATCAGGCTTGATTAACCAATAAATATAATTCACTCTTTCAGCCTCTGTGTCCAGGTCTCACACAAACACCACTCTCTCTATCGGCCTCTGTGTCGTTAAAATATGTTAGCGATACCTCCTGAGCGACCAAACCTATTGATAAAGAAAGGAAGTTTGTTATTTTTCTTTTATTTCCAATGCATTTAAAAGCTTGTTGTGACGAAGGTTTTTTGTTAGAAAGGAATCACTGCATTCAAAATTGAGTTACAGGATTTGCCGCATCACACAAAAACACCAAAGACAGACAGACAGACAGACAGACAGACAGACAGACAGACAGACAGACAGACAGACAGACAGACAGACAGACAGACAGACAGACAGACAGACAGACAGACAGACAGACAGACAGACAGACAGACAGACAGACAGACAGACAGACAGACAGACAGACAGACAGACAGACAGACAGACAGACAGACAGACAGACAGACAGACAGACAGACAGACAGACAGACAGACAGACAGACAGACAGACAGACAGACAGACAGACAGACAGACAGACAGACAGACAGACAGACAGACAGACAGACAGACAGACAGGCAGGCAGGCAGGCAGGCAGGCAGGCAGGCAGGCAGGCAGGCAGGTACGCAAGCAGACAGACAGATTTTGTACTTACATGTGAAATTTCATTTATCTATCTGAAATAGTACTACTGTTATTGGCTTTTGAAAAATTAGAACTAGAAAAAGTTTCACTTCCGGTTATCGGAAATAGCTGGAAAGTTGATACGGATCTAAAAATTGTATATAATACTTATTTATGAAATTTCATCTACCTAGCTGTAGCAGTGCTCAAGTCATCGTATTCACAGACACACATACACACACACATACACACATACACACGCAGACATACGGACAAGATTGCAAAACTATGCTTTTCGACTCAGAGGGGTGTAAAACGTCGAGTTTTGCGAAAATATCGGGGTTTTTGTTGTTTGTTTTTTTTTGCACGATTACAATACTTTCTTTATACTTCGTATACGAGAAAAAAAAACATGATGAAAGAAGAAAAAAAAACCCAGAGACACAGCTGTTTAACACAAAGTGAGCTCTTAAGAGTGCCAAAATAATATACAACTTTATAATAAGCTTCAATCAGAAAATAAATTTTAAAAGTTGCTTTCTTTAGTAAAAGAATTGGTCTCTCATCGATTGTTTAACATATTTTAGCGACTAATGTTTTTTTATTAAAAGCAAGACTACCAATATTAGCTTTGGATCTCTAAAAGACAAGTGTCTGCCCTTTCTTGGTCTGTAGTGTACACGGAGTACACCAAGAGATTTTGGGCTTTTGATCCAGAGCTTAACTAGGGGAAATAACTCAAAATTCATGTAGCTCGTTTCAATGAGGAGTTGTCTTTTTTACATTTATTTATCTTTCGTAGTAATCAACAATTTAATTACCTTGTTTGCTATGATTTTTATTATTACGAGATTTTGTGTGTGTCCTAAATGTCTGTTTTCTTGTTTCTGGATTTGTGGGAAATATTAAAACTCAAATTTATTAAATTAGTAATGAAAAAGATTACTAATTTCGATAATAGAAAGGGAGATAACCGAATTGAAATCAAGCGCGAGCTGGATCCGTTTGTTTATGATTGTGAAGTGTTTGTCCCGTACGGCTGGTTTCATGTGACCGTCGTTTTGAGAGCTATGGATCCAATTTTTTTTTTCATTAACATCAAATTACTAAAATTTAGCCACATAAAAAAAGACAAATTTAAAACATTAAAATCAAAGCACTGCAAAATAAAAACAACATATATAACTTGCTTTATTTGATTAGAAACCTCTCAGAAATTATTGCGACATTAGCATTGATTAAAGAAAGCAATTTTGTGATATCTATTTTTATTTATAGTGTTTTTTATTTTAATTTTTAAAATATTTTTTTCTTTACAATTACAAGAGGACCAATCAGACAAACGTGTGAGCTAAGTCAACAAGAAAGCTATTCAACACTAATGTGTAACTACAACAATCAGCCCTAACGCTAGCCCTTACCCTAACACTAACCCTAACCCTAACCCTAACCCTTACCCTAACCCTAACCCTAACACTAACCATAAACACCCGCTAGTACTAACCAGACCAACCGAAACACTCTATCCCCCCCACCCCCTCAACCCTTCCCTCTCTCTCTACCCTCTCTCTACCCTCATGCCATCCCGATGGGAGCCGTTGTCGATGGTAGTTGCGAGCCGTTGATGGCAGCTGTTGATTTATCAGAGAAAAAAGAAGCAACTATGCGTGTATGAGAGAGTTAGTAGTGTGTGTGTGTGTAGTTTCATTTATATGTGTGTATATGTTGTCTGACTGTGTGTCTAAAACAACCGTGGAACAGGCAACATAACCCCCACATAACCCCCACATAACCCCCACATAACCCCCACATAACCCCCACATAACCCCCACATAACCCCCACATAACCCCCACATAACCCCCACATAACCCCCACATAACCCCCACATAACCCCCACATAACCCCCACATAACCCCCACATAACCCCCACATAACCCCCACATAACCCCCACATAACCCCCACATAACCCCCACATAACCCCCACTGACTTATCATTTGAGCACGCTTACAGTTAGATCTACCAGCGAGAAAGATATCCAGCAGATACACTCACGTGTCGACTGGTCGCTAGTTCATCTCTACTGCACGCAGACAGCACACACACACAAATGCCCTCCTTCATCTTGGCGAGGGTTACATAACTCACGGCACGCTGATCGGGTAGGGTGGGGGGGGGGGGTGAGGTGGGACGTCCGTATCTTGAAGTGAGCATTCTCGGGTTTTAAAATTGTTTTCATTCGCTGCGCGGATTGGCAGCGCACTTGAACGGTAGGTAAAGTTTTCTTGTTTGTTTCATCGGTAGGTAAAGTTTTCTTGTTTGTTTCATCGGTAGGTAAAGTTTTCTTGTTTGTTTCATCGGTAGGTAAAGTTTTCTTGTTTGTTTCATCGGTAGGTAAAGTTTTCTTGTTTGTTTCATCGGTAGGTAAAGTTTTCTTGTTTGTTTCATCGGTAGGTAAAGTTTTCTTGTTTGTTTCATCGGTAAGTAAAGTTTTCTTGTTTGTTTCATCGGTAGGTAAAGTTTTCTTGTTTGTTTCATCGGTAGGTAAAGTTTTCTTGTTTGTTTCATCGGTAGGTAAAGTTTTCTTGCTTGTTTCATCGGTAGGTAAAGTTTTCTTGTTTGTTTCATCGGTAAGTAAAGTTTTCTTGTTTGTTGCATCGGTAGGTAAAGTTTTCTTGTTTGTTTCATCGGTAGGTAAAGTTTTCTTGTTTGTTTCATCGGTAGGTAAAGTTTTCTTGTTTGTTTCATCGGTAGGTAAAGTTTTCTTGTTTGTTTCATCGGTAGGTAAAGTTTTCTTGTTTGTTTCATCGGTAAGTAAAGTTTTCTTGTTTGTTTCATCGGTAGGTAAAGTTTTCTTGTTTGTTTCATCGGTAGGTAAAGTTTTCTTGTTTGTTTCATCGGTAGGTAAAGTTTTCTTGTTTGTTTCATCGGTAAGTAAAGTTTTCTTGTTTGTTTCATCGGTAGGTAAAGTTTTCTTGTTTGTTTCATCGGTAGGTAAAGTTTTCTTGTTTGTTTCATCGGTAGGTAAAGTTTTCTTGCTTGTTTCATCGGTAGGTAAAGTTTTCTTGTTTGTTTCATCGGTAAGTAAAGTTTTCTTGTTTGTTGCATCGGTAGGTAAAGTTTTCTTGTTTGTTTCATCGGTAGGTAAAGTTTTCTTGTTTGTTTCATCGGTAGGTAAAGTTTTCTTCTTTGTTTCATCGGCAGGTAAAGTTTTCTTGTTTGTTTCATCGGTAGGTAAAGTTTTCTTCTTTGTTTCATCGGTAGGTAAAGTTTTCTTGTTTGTTTCATCGGTAGGTAAAGTTTTCTTGTTTGTTTCATCGGTAGGTAAAGTTTTCTTGTATATGCTGGGTTAGGTAATAGAGATAAAGTAACCGGACAGTGGGAATGTTGAATCACCCCTCCCTCTCGTACTGAGAGCTAATATATTCAAAAGTATATCATATTTGAAAAATTCATCTTGTTATCTCCCCTTTTTAGTGGAATAATTTCGGAATTAAATTAACTTTTAGCACCTAATTTTATGTATCATTAATTCAAATAATTGCTATAATTTAACTTTTAGCAGCTAATTTAATGTGTCATTAATTCAAGTAATTGCTATAATTTAACTTTTAGCAGCTAATTTAATGTGTCATTAATTCAAATAATTGCTATAATTTAACTTTTAGCAGCTAATTTAATGTGTCATTAATTCAAGTAATTGCTATAATTTAACTTTTAGCAGCTAATTTTATGTGTCATTAATTCAAATAATTGCTATAATTTAACTTTTAGCAGCTAATTTAATGTGTCATTAATTCAAGTAATTGCTATAATTTAACTTTTAGCAGCTAATTTAATGTGTCATTAATTCAAGTAATTGCTATAATTTAACTTTTAGCAGCTAATTTTATGTGTCATTAATTCAAATAATTGCTATAATTTAACTTTTAGCAGCTAATTAAATGTGTCATTAATTCAAGTAATTGCTATAATTTAACTTTTAGCAGCTAATTTTATGTGTCATTAATTCAAATAATTGCTATAATTTAACTTTTAGCAGCTAATTTAATGTGTCATTAATTCAAGTAATTGCTATAATTTAACTTTTAGCAGCTAATTTAATGTGTCATTAATTCAAGTAATTGCTATAATTTAACTTTTAGCAGCTAATTTTATGTGTCATTAATTCAAGTAATTGCTATAATTTAACTTTTAGCAGCTAATTTAATGTGTCATTAATTCAAATAATTGCTATAATTTAACTTTTAGCAGCTAATTTAATGTGTCATTAATTCAAGTAATTGCTATAATTTAACTTTTAGCAGCTAATTTAATGTGTCATTAATTCAAGTAATTGCTATAATTTAACTTTTAGCAGCTAATTTAATGTGTCATTAATTCAAGTAATTGCTATAATTTAACTTTTAGCAGCTAATTTTATGTGTCATTAATTCAAATAATTGCTATAATTTAACTTTTAGCAGCTAATTTAATGTGTCATTAATTCAAGTAATTGCTATAATTTAACTTTTAGCAGCTAATTTAATGTGTCATTAATTCAAGTAATTGCTATAATTTAACTTTTAGCAGCTAATTTTATGTGTCATTAATTCAAGTAATTGCTATAATTTAACTTTTAGCAGCTAATTTAATGTGTCATTAATTCAAGTAATTGCTATAATTTAACTTTTAGCAGCTAATTTTATGTGTCATTAATTCAAGTAATTGCTATAATTTAACTTTTAGCAGCTAATTTAATGTGTCATTAATTCAAGTAATTGCTATAATTTAACTTTTAGCAGCTAATTTTATGTGTCATTATTTCAAGTAATTGCTATAATTTAACTTTTAGCAGCTAATTTAATGTGTCATTAATTCAAATAATTGCTATAATTTAACTTTTAGCAGCTAATTTAATGTGTCATTAATTCAAGTAATTTGTGTTGTCACCGGAGACCAAAGTTTCTGGAAAGTTGAACAAAATCGTTGCATTAGAAGTGGGTCAAAAGTGAGTTACATGATTTGTTAGAAACTGTACAGACAGAAGGACAGACAGACAGACAGACAGCGTGGTCTAAACAAAAATCTTACAAAGACAAAATCCCGTGTTGGCTGAGAGACGCTTCACGTGTTTGAGATCCACGCTCGATAAATTAATTTCAAACATTGTCAAATTATTTTTCTTCTCTACTTGTCAAACACGTTTAATTAAGCGATTAATTAATTAAACTTTATTGTTGTACCGCCAATATAAATATTTACAGGCCACACAATACCGGTCATCCTTCCCCATTCCCCCCCCCCCACACACACACATACACACGTCAGTCAGTAATAATTGTCACAAAATATACTTCAAATAATCATCAGACAGTTTGGTGACAGCAAGACGTCTGCTACAGTTTGGGTTGAAACAACTTGAGACAAATTTGCCAACAGAATTTGGAAATATTTCCGCTGAAAGTTATTTAAATATTTTTGCTTAGCCGAGGCAGAGTTGACATGTATAAAGTCATCTCTCTACAGTTGACATGTATAAAGTCATCTCTCTACAGTTGACCTGTATAAAGTCACTTTCTTCTCCACAGGGTCCAACAAAAATGGTGTGGCATCTATTTCTACTGACTGTGTTGGCCTTGACCCCTGACATATCCTGCCAAAAGCCGGTGTTCCTGTCGCCGTATCTAGACAGAGGCGACATCAAGTCCGCCCTTAACGCCAGTTTTGTTGAGCCAAAGTTCTTCCCGCTGGCCGAGGTGCCGCCGAGCTATGCTGGCTACATCACGGCCGACGAGATGCTGGGCAACCATCTGTTCTTCTGGTTCTTCCCCTCCCCCAGCAACGCCAGCGCCCCCCTGTGTGTCTGGCTGAACGGCGGGCCCACCGTCTCGTCGATGGTGGGCCTGCTGTGGGAGCACGGCCCACTGGAAGTATTTGGCGAGCAGACCACGCACTACAGGGCGAGGAAATACTCGTGGGTGGGGCCGTTCTCTATGCTGTACATCGACAGCCCTGTCGAGACCGGCTACAGCTTCACCGAGAGCGGCCTGGCAGGGCTGCGTGTCTCACAAGACGGCATCGCTAAAGACCTGTTCTCGTTCATGGAACAGTTCTACGTCATGTTCCCTGAATACAAAGCCAGGGAACTTTACATCGGGGGACAATCTTACGCCGGGAAGTACGTGCCGCACCTCGCTTATTTCATCCACAAACAAAAACGGGCGAAGAAGACGGACATGCCGCTAACCGGCATCTACCTGGGCGGACCGTTCTACGACCCACCCGTCCAAAGTCTGTCGTACGTCGAGTACCTGTACGCCCTGGGCGCCCTCAGCCACGCCCAGAAGACCGAGCGCCAGAGGGCGGTGTCCGAGGTGGTCAGGAAGTACCAGAGCCTGGAGCTGAAGAACGACAGCATGACCTACATCTTCAAGGAGATCGTGCCCCGGTGGGGGCTGGACAGTAACGACAATTACGTCACGGGGCGGCCGGCGGGCTACAGCCTTGTGGCCAACTTCATGAGCGCCAGAAACACGCGGGCGGGCGTGCATGTCGGCAACATGAAGTACAACGTCGTCAACACAGACATCTACTGCAAGTTCGGCCCAGACCTTCTATCCAGCGCCAAAAAACAGATGGCGGTTTTAATGGACAACTACAAGGTGTTAATCTATACAGGTGACTATGACGTCATTGTGAGCTCCATCATGGTGGAGGCAGCACTCCACAGCACGCCCTGGGCTGGGCAGCGTGAGTACAACACGAGTCGCAGGGAGGTCTGGCTGGGGCAGGACGACACGCTGTGGGGGTTCTACTCCAGGACCGGCCGCTTCTGTCGCGTGGTGGTCAAAGGATCAGGTCATCAGACGCCGCATGACGTGCCGCATGCTGCATACGACATGATGGTCCAGTTCGTCCGGCATGGCTGCATAAACACGTCGAACAAACTAAACGACACGTAAGTTTTGTCATCTGTTTGTCTAGACATTTGGCTGTCCTGTCATCTGGTTGTCCTGTCATCTGGTTGTCCTGTCATCTGTTTGTCCTGTCATCTTGTTGTCCTGTCATCTGTTTGTCTAGACATTTGGTTGTCCTTTCATCTGGTTGTCCTGTCATCTGGTTGTCCTGTCATCTTGTTGTCCTGTCATCTGATTGTCCGGTCATCTTGTTGTCCTGTCATCTTGTTGTCCTGTCATCTTTTCCTGTCATCTGGTTGTCCTGTCAACTGGTTGTCCTGTCATCTTGTTGTCCTGTCATCTTTTCCTGTGATAATGTTGTCCTGTCATCTGGTTGTCCTGTCATCTTGTTGTCCTGTCATGTTGTTGTCCTGTCATCTTGTTGTCCTGACATCTGGTTTTCCTGTCATCTGGTTTTCCTGTCATCTTGTTGTCCTGTCATCATGTCCTGTCATTTTGTTGTCCTGTCATCTTTTCCTGTCATTTGGTTGTCCTGTTATCTTGTTGTCCTGTCATCTAGTTGTCCTGTCATCTGGTTGTCCTGTCATCTGGTTGTCCTGTCATCTTGTCCTGTCATCTGGTTGTCCTGTCATCTGGTTGTCCTGTCATCTTGTCCTGTCATCTTGTTGTCCTGTCATCTGGTTGTCCTGTCATCTGGTTGTCCTGTCAACTGGTTGTCCTGTCAACTGGTTGTCCTGTCATCTTGTTGTCCTGTCATCTTTTCCTGTCATAATGTTGTCCTGTCATCTGGTTGTCCTGTCATCTTGTTGTCCTGTCATGTTGTTGTCCTGTCATCTTGTTGTCCTGACATCTGGTTTTCCTGTCATCTGGTTTTCCTGTCATCTTGTTGTCCTGTCATCTTGTCCTGTCATCTGGTTGTCCTGTCATCTTTTCCTGTCATTTGGTTGTCCTGTCATCTAGTTGTCCTGTCATCTAGTTGTCCTGTCATCTTGTTGTCCTGTCATCTTGTCCTGTCATTTGGTTGTCCTGTCATCTGGTTGTCCTTTCATCTTGTCCTGTCATTTGGTTGTCCTGTCATCTTGTCCTGTCATCTGGTTGTCCTGTCATCTTGTCCTGTCATCTGGTTTCCCTGTCATCTTGTTGTCCTGTTATCTGATTGTCCTGTCATCTTGTCCTGTCATCTTGTTGTCCTGTCATCTTGTCGTCCTGTCATCTTTTCCTGTCATCTTTTCCTGTCATTTGGTTGTCCTGTCATCTGGTTGTCCTGTCATCTTTTCCTGTCATCTTTTCTGTCATCTTTTCCTGTCATCTGGTTGTTCTGTCATCTGGTTGTCCTGTCATCTGGTTGTCCTGTCATCTGGTTGTCCTGTCATCTGGTTGTCCTGTCATCCGGTTGTCCTGTCATTTGGTTGTCCTGTCAACTTGTCCTGTCATTTGGTTGTCCTGTCATCTGGTTGTCCTGTCATCTGGTTGTCCTGTCATTTGGTTGTCCTGTCATCTTTTCCTATCATCTGGTTGTCCTGTCATCTGGTTTTCCTGTCATCTGGTTGTCCTGTCATCTGGTTGTCCTGTCATCTGGTTTTCCTGTCATCTTGTCCTGTCATCTTTTCCTGTCATTTGGTTGTCCTGTCATCTGGTTGTCCTGTCATCTTTTCCTGTCATCTGGTTGTCCTGTCATCTGGTTGTCCTGTCATCTGGTTGTCCTTTCATCCGGTTGTCCTGTCATTTGGTTGTCCTGTCAACTTGTCCTGTCATTTGGTTGTCCTGTCATCTGGTTGTCCTGTCATCTGATTGTCCGGTCATCTTGTTGTCCTGTCATCTTGTTGTCCTGTCATCTTTTCCTGTCATCTGGTTGTCCTGTCAACTGGTTGTCCTGTCATCTTGTTGTCCTGTCATCTTTTCCTGTGATAATTTTGTCCTGTCATCTGGTTGTCCTGTCATCTTGTTGTCCTGTCATGTTGTTGTCCTGTCATCTTGTTGTCCTGACATCTGGTTTTCCTGTCATCTGGTTTTCCTGTCATCTTGTTGTCCTGTCATCATGTCCTGTCATTTTGTTGTCCTGTCATCTTTTCCTGTCATTTGGTTGTCCTGTTATTTGGTTGTCCTGTCATCTAGTTGTCCTGTCATCTGGTTGTCCTGTCATCTGGTTGTCCTGTCATCTTGTCCTGTCATCTGGTTGTCCTGTCATCTGGTTGTCCTGTCATCTTGTCCTGTCATCTTGTTGTCCTGTCATCTGGTTGTCCTGTCATCTGGTTGTCCTGTCATCTGGTTGTCCTGTCAACTGGTTGTCCTGTCATCTTGTTGTCCTGTCATCTTTTCCTGTCATAATGTTGTCCTGTCATCTGGTTGTCCTGTCATCTTGTTGTCCTGTCATGTTGTTGTCCTGTCATCTTGTTGTCCTGACATCTGGTTTTCCTGTCATCTGGTTTTCCTGTCATCTTGTTGTCCTGTCATCTTGTCCTGTCATCTGGTTGTCCTGTCATCTTTTCCTGTCATTTGGTTGTCCTGTCATCTAGTTGTCCTGTCATCTGGTTGTCCTGTCATCTGGTTGTCCTGACATCTTGTCCTGTCATCTGGTTGTCCTGTCATCTGGTTGTCCTGTCATCTTGTCCTGTCATCTTGTTGTCCTGTCATCTGGTTGTCCTGTCATCTTGTTGTCCTGTCATCTGGTTTTCCTGTCATCTGGTTGTCCTGTCATCTTGTTGTCCTGTCATCTTGTTGTCCTGTCATCTGATTACTGGTCATCTTGTTGTCCTGTCATCTTGTTGTCCTGTCATCTTTTCCTGTCATCTGGTTGTCCTGTCATCTGGTTGTCCTGTCATCTAGTTGTCCTGTCATCTTGTTGTCCTGTCATCTTGTCCTGTCATTTGGTTGTCCTGTCATCTGGTTGTCCTTTCATCTTGTCCTGTCATTTGGTTGTCCTGTCATCTTGTCCTGTCATCTGGTTGTCCTGTCATCTTGTCCTGTCATCTGGTTTCCCTGTCATCTTGTTGTCCTGTTATCTGATTGTCCTGTCATCTTGTCCTGTCATCTTGTTGTCCTGTCATCTTGTCGTCCTGTCATCTTTTCCTGTCATCTTTTCCTGTCATTTGGTTGTCCTGTCATCTGGTTGTCCTGTCATCTTTTCCTGTCATCTTTTCTGTCATCTTTTCCTGTCATCTGGTTGTTCTGTCATCTGGTTGTCCTGTCATCTGGTTGTCCTGTCATCTGGTTGTCCTGTCATCTGGTTGTCCTGTCATCTGGTTGTCCTGTCATCTGGTTGTCCTGTCATCCGGTTGTCCTGTCATTTGGTTGTCCTGTCAACTTGTCCTGTCATTTGGTTGTCCTGTCATCTGGTTGTCCTGTCATCTGGTTGTCCTGTCATTTGGTTGTCCTGTCATCTTTTCCTATCATCTGGTTGTCCTGTCATCTGGTTTTCCTGTCATCTGGTTGTCCTGTCATCTGGTTGTCCTGTCATCTGGTTTTCCTGTCATCTTGTCCTGTCATCTTTTCCTGTCATTTGGTTGTCCTGTCATCTGGTTGTCCTGTCATCTTTTCCTGTCATTTGGTTGTCATGTCATCTGGTTGTCCTGTCATCTGGTTGTCCTGTCATCTGGTTGTCCTGTCATCTTGTCCTGTCATCTTGTCCTGTCATCTGGTTGTCCTGTCATCTTGTTGTCCTGTCATTTGGTTGTCCTGTCATCTGGTTTTCCTGTCATCTGGTTGTCCTGTCATCTGGTTGTCCTGTCATTTGGTTGTCCTGTCATCTTGTCCTGTCATCTGGTTGTCCTGTCATCTGGTTGTCCTGTCATCTCGTTGTCCTGTCATCTTGTCCTGTCATTTGGTTGTCCTGTCATCTTGTCCTGTCATCTGGTTGTCCTGTCATCTTGTTGTCCTGTCCTCTGGTTGTCCTGTCATCTGGTTTTCCTGTCATTTGGTTGTCCTGTCATCTTGTTGTCCTGTCATCTTGTTGCCCTCTCATCTTGTTGTCCTGTCCTCTGGTTGTCCTGTCGTCTGGTTTTCCTGTCATTTGGTTGTCCTGTCATCTGGTTGTCCTGTCATCTGGTTGTCCTGTCATCTGGTTGTCCTGTCATCTTGTTGTCCTGTCATCTTGTTGCCCTCTCATCTTGTTGTCCTGTCATCTTGTCCTGTCATCTTGTTTTCCTGTCATTTGGTTGTCCTGTCATCTGGTTGTCCCTGCTTGCAGCAAGTCTAATGTTTGACTGACGTTTTGAATTTACGACTGACGTTTTCAGTGAGTAACCCAAAAGTTGCATCGGATGTAACATTATTGTCTTTTGACTGATGACGGATGTAACATTATTGTCTTATGTCTGATGACGGATGTAACATTATTGTCTTTTGTCTGATGACGGATGTAACATTATTGTCTTATGTCTGATGACGGATGTAACATTATTGTCGTATGTCTGATGACGGATGTAACATTATTGTCGTATGTCTGATGACGGATGTAACATTATTGTCTTATGTCTGATGACGGATGTTACATTATTGTCTTATGTCCGTGCAGGCTAACAAAGTCTGTCTTCAAGAGTGCACGGCCAGGCAGCTGGATATTGAACAACATCGGGCACAGCAGCGTGTAGCTGGGTGCCATCACATACATGCTGCGGGAATTCTGTAACAACTGAAGGCCATTGTATAGATGTAGGTCATTGTGTAAAGATGAATGGCACTGTATATAGCATTGGCGGAACTAGTAATAAAGGGCCTCCCTGAACAAATATGTCGGCCCCTACCTGTATATATACATATATATATATATATATATATATATATATATATATATATATATATATATATATATATATATATATATATATATATATATATATATATATATATATATATATATATATATATATATATATATATATATATGTATATATATATATATGTATATATGTATATAAATATATATATATATATATATATATATATATATATATATATATATATATATATATATATATATATATATGTATATATGTATATAAATATATATATATATATATATATATATATATATATATATATATATATATATATATATATATATATATATATAGCGTATCCGTCGCTACAATTATGGAAGAATGAAAGTTGTGATATAGAAAACATGTCTAAGTGTCGCTCTACTTTAATTATTTATTTGAGTACTTGTGGATTCATGGTAAAAAAAAACTCAGAGATTTTCCAACTGACGCCGGCACTATACAGTTGTCCGTGTGAGAAGCACTGACCCTTTAAATCTAGTCCATCACACCAAACGTTGTATAAGTTTACCAGAAGCACTGACCCTTTCAATCTAGTCCATCACACCAATCTTGTGACCTTGTTTTCCAGAACAAAGTTAATTAAATGTAAACAATATCGGCACTACCTCCCAGGGGTTTAGTTTGTCCACACATCTCATGGTGGGCTCTAAGCAAACCTTCAGTTTACGCTGATCGACCCTCGGCGTTGGTATAGGTGTCAGTGGAGTCGTGGGTGTCTTGGGGGTCTTGGGGGTCTTGGGGGGGGGGGCACCGGTTACATCACAGCACGGGTGACGGGCACAACCCCTGGCTACATTTAGCCATCAAATGTAGTAATTCGATGTAGTCCTATTGTAGCGTCATCTTTAAATCTAATAAAGGGGCCATAGTGCCCACGTCGCTCCGGATAACACGACCACTGGTGGAAGCCTAAATGACAGCTTGTCTAATAATTCAAATAAAAACCGACCCCCCCCCCCCCCCCCATCTGAAAGACACAAGCAGACTTCAGGTACAACTAGAGATCTCGGGGCGCTAAACCACACATCTCTGTGGGGCGCCACCATTATAATATCTAAATAAATATAAGGCCTATGTCAGAAAGGTTGGCGGAAATGTGATCAAAAACGTCCCAAATTTTCATGGCGATCGGATGAATGGGATAGAAGTGCAGAAAATAACAGACATGTTTTTCACATGTGCAACTGTACGTGGCTAGCTGACAGGTCGGGAAACTTAGGGGGTCATCCATAAATGACGTCAGATTTTATCTATCTCTTACACTACAGTTTGTGTAGTGTTTTTTGTATTTGTGTAGTGTTTTTAGTATTTGTGTAGTGTTTTTAGTATTTGAGAAGAGCATGGTATAGTGACTGTAGAATAAAGATAATCCAACATTAATTGTAGTAATTTTTTTACAAAAGAAACATCAAGGCAAAAATACACAAAAATTAAATTTTAAAAGATTAAAATATACGAGCCGACCCGCGGCATATCATACGCCGCTATTTAGTTGTTTTATTTTCTACTTTTCAGTAATTCATAATTTGTGAATTCGACGGTACCACTGCTGTTACTGAAAATATTTGCTTTAAAAAACTATCAGTAGCTCGTTAAGGACAATAACCCCCCCCCCCCCCTCCCACCCACACCCTCCTTTCCACCAACCCCTACCGGTGAGCGGAAAAAAGTCACAGGAAAAAAAAACAGAAAAAAAGCCACAGTTTTTGCTAGGAAAAAAGTCACAGAAAAAAAGTCACAATGGAAACATTTTATCCGAAAAAAGTCACAAATAAAGTCACAGAAAAAAAGTCACAAAAATCTTTTTAGAAAATTTTGATTTATTTGTTAAAAATTGTAAAATTTTGTATGTTTAGTGTTGTGGGTTGTATTTTTTGATAGCATAAATTATTTAGAGACGTTAAAAGCATTATGGTTTATAACAATGGTAAGTAAAAATACTCTAACATAATTTACACAACAATCTCAACTTTTGTTACGTATTTAGCCTCCTCTTAGTTACCTCCCCTAAGTTTAAAATCGTTTCAAACCAAATTATCTGCCCCTCATAGCTGTCACTAATCCCGGCACTATGATTGTAAACATTTAGCGTGGACCACAGCTCACCAGACCATGTGATATGCCTACAGAGGAAGAGAGAAGACTGCTAGGCGCGCTTACAACTTGTTTTCTAACGTCTCCAAGAAGAGAATTATATAAATAGATATGTAGCGAATCGGTAGCGAATTGGTAGGGAATTGGTAAATAGATGTGAGGCATTGTGTCAGATCCATCAGATAATTTTTTGTCAGACTGACAATATTTGATATGTAACCACAAACAACTTTTTGATGACAAAAAAAAACGGGCGAACATGACGACACGAGATTAAATAAAAAATTTAATTTAAAAATTAAAGCCGAAGCTAAACAACTTTTATGAGAAAAAAGTCACAAAGGAAAAATTTTATCGGAAAAAAAAGTCACCAAAATAAAGTCACAAAAATCTTATAAGAAATATTTTGATTTAATTGTAGAGGATTGTAAAATTTTTGCTACTTATTACCGTGGGTGGTTTTTTTTTTTGGTAGCATAATCATAAACTTTAAAAGCATTATGGTTTATAACAATAAGTAAAAATACTATAAAATATTTTGCACAGCAATCTCCACTTTTGTTACTTATTTAGTTGAATACGCGGTAGAAAAATGTCGGCACATCGTTGTGTTTTGCATTTTTATGCCTTAGGCCTTTCCTTGTTTGGCTTCTTGTCAGTCGGCATTGACCGTCCATATTGTGTTTTGTTGAAGTTTCGCGTCAATGACAGCTTTTGAACCTTGTCGGGTTGTCGGCTTTCTGTTTTGATCCCATGGTATGTATGTAATGAGCATGATAAAGAAAGGTGATAGAGCTATTGTTGCTATGAGTTGAGGTCAGCAAGTCACATTAACTACGCTCTACGCCATTGCACGCTCATTCAGTATTTAAAAAACACGATGAAAACCGAAAAGGTTGGAACATTCTATTAAATAATAATAAGTGTAACGGAATTAAAACCTACATACTTTTTACTAAATATATGTACGTGTGTCATACATACATATAAAACATAAGTACATATATCTAAAATCTTTACATTACATTCGAATCGTAATTTGATTTGCACTTTCTAAATCTTTAATACATAAAAATATTACATTCCATACAAATACTTATTTGTGACTTTTTTTCTGTGACTTTTTTCCTACAATCCTGATAGGTGCACAGCTTATAGATTGTGTGGGTTATAAATTGTGCGGGTTATAAATTGTGCGGGTTATAAATCGTGCGGGTGATAAGTTGTGAAGGATATAATTCATGGAGGTTCTTCAATTATCTTATTAATCTGATTTGCCAAAATATAAGTATAAGATGCTTTAATTATCCTTGCTCATTCATCTAATTTATAATTGTTTTTATGTTAAATAATAACCTAACCATTTGAATAATTCGAGTCGTTTTTACGTTGTTTTAGATGCTTTCAAATAACAGGGGTTTTTTTTTTCATTTTTTTTTAATTTTACAATCAAATGCTTTTTATCACTGTTGAACTATTTTTGAACATATAATTACTTTGTATGTGTAAACGAATCAGTTTAATATACGATTTTTAAAAATAACCATTTCAAATCACTGCTGTTTTTTTTTCTTGTTCTTATTTTGTTATCGAGTGTTTGTACTTGTTACATCACGTGATTTCAAGTTAAGACTTTGTTTACTTCCCTTCTATGGTGTCCACGGAATAAAGGTGTCAGCTACAATGTGAATGGATTGGTAAAAGTTTCATGAACCATTTGCAGCACCTATCTGTGTCTGCAACATGGAAGGTAACATACTCAGGCGAGTTGTTTTCTTCGTGCTATAGCTGGTCTTTTTTTAGGCCTAGGCGGATTGTTGTTGTGTTACTCGCTATCTTTTCTGTTGTCGGAATGGTATGGCTTTTGTCTAGATATAATGGTATGGCTTTTGTCTAGATATTATGGTGTGGCTGTTGTCTAGACAGAATGGTGTGGCTGTTGTCTAGACAGAATGGTGTGGCTGTTGTCTAGACAGAATGGTGTGGCTGTTGTCTAGACAGAATGGTGTGTCTGTTGTCTAGACAGAATGGTGTGGCTGTTGTCTAGACAGAATGGTGTGTCTGTTGTCTAGACAGAATGGTGTGGCTGTTGTCTAGAAATAATGGTATGGCTTTTGTCTAGATATAATGGTGTGGCTGTTGTCTAGACAGAATGGTGTGGCTGTTGTCTAGACAGAATGGTGTGGCTGTTGTCTAGAAATAATGGTATGGCTTTTGTCTAGATATAATGGTGTGGCTGTTGTCTAGACAGAATGGTGTGGCTGTTGTCTAGACAGAATGGTGTGGCTGTTGTCTAGACAGAATGGTGTGGCTGTTGTCTAGACAGAATGGTATGGCTGTTGTCTAGACAGAATGGTGTGGCTGTTGTCTAGACAGAATGGTGTGTCTGTTGTCTAGACAGAATGGTGTGGCTGTTGTCTAGACAGAATGGTGGTTTTAAGGTTGTGTGTATTTCGTCATGGTCCAAATAAAATTGGATGAACCTGGGACAGATGGCGATCATTCATCTTCTCCTATTTGTAGCAAAAGTCATGGTGAACTAATTTAACGTCGGCTAATCTTAACTTTTATCTCATAAAGCCATTTTTTTTTAATTCCACTTTATCCCAACCCCTACGCCATTTTTTCGCTTACATTACTTGATACTTTATTCGTCTTCTCTCTCTCTCTCTCTCTCTCTCTCTTTCTTTCTTTTACATATATATATATATATATATATATATATATATATATATATATATATATATATATATATATATATATATATATATATATATATATATATATAATGATTGGGAGATAAGTGTGTGTTAATGTGTGATGTGCGTTTTCTCACAGACGTTCCCTCTCCAGAGAAAACTATA